CCTCTATTGAGGCCTAGTTTGCATATCATGAAATGCTCCCATTTCAAGTGAACAGTTCAGTGATCGTGGTAACGTCACCCAGTGGTACAGCCGTCACCACAGATCAGTTTCAAGACGCTTCCATCCCCCGGTAGCGTCCACTGGCCCATGTACAGTGATCCCCGTTCCCATCCCTGCCCCTGGCAACCACTCATCTACTTCCCCGCCTCTCCCGGCCGTTTCATGTGGATGGAACCCTGGCATAGGTCAGTAGTCTGAGTAATATTCCTCCATTAGCCTGTCTGCCTCTTGTGAAGTAGGTGTTTTTCTTATCCCCATTGTAGAGATGAGGACACTGAGAACAGAAAGGGTACGGGACCCAGCCTTCCAGCCACAGGGACGCCTTGCCACACCTCAACCACAGCCTATTCTTTCCTGCCACAGGACCTTTGCATGGGCTGTTCCCTCTGCCTAGAACAGTCTTCCTGCTCCTTCTGGCTGGACCCGCCTCATTCTTTGTTCTTAGCTGTGTCCCTGGAGCTAAAGCAGCTCCCTCAGATTCCTTGTGTGGTTTGTTTCGTTTGTAAACACTGGACGTGCGTTCATCATGGTGGGGTGTGTCTGCTCCTTCACTGGACGGTGGTCTCCAGGTGGGCGGGGGACAGGTTTCTCCCATTCACAGCCGTGTCCCAGTACCAAGCACGTAGCAGGCGCCTGGGAGTCATGTGCTGAGTGGCTGGAGGAGAAACACTTCCCCAGACCCCTGATGGTGGAGCTGGGCAGCCGTGGGAGCCCCTCACTGGCTTCTCCCTCCAGCGCCCATGGCTCTGCCACCCCCATACCTGAAGTACTGTCTTCTCTCGTGACCTCGTAGGACCTGGCCCAACTGCAGGAGGGCCGGCAGCCAGAGCACCGGGACATGGTCCTGCAGAAGGTGTCAGACTCAGAGAAGCTGCTGTACATGCTGGAGGCGGATGCGGCCATCGCCAAGCACATGAAGCACCCCCAAGGGGACATGATTGCCGAGGAGTAGGTCCCCACTGCTTTGGGCCCTCGGGGAGCCTCTGGGCTCTGAGCCAGGGCAGGAGGGCTGCGGGGCAGTGCCCGAGGGCACTCAGCACTCAGGAGCGACCCTGGAAGGCTGTGGGCAGCTGAGTCAGGGGGACATTTACTGAGGACTAGCCAGATACTGGACGAGGTCCCTGGGTGATGTAAACGGTTAACACCTTGGCCGTTAACTGCGAGGTCCACCCAGAGGTGTCTCAGAAGAAAGGCCTGGCAATCCACTTCTGAAAAACCAGCCGCTGCCAACTGTATGGAGCCCCGTCCTGCTCTGACGTGCAGGGTCACCATAAGTCGGAGCTGGCTCTGCGGCCACTGGCTAACTAGATACCAAACAAAAAAACCCAACCCGTTGCCGTCGAGTTGTTTCCGACTCATACCAGGCACAGGTCAAATGCTTTCCCTGAGCTTCATAATAATCCATTTTGCTGTTGAAGAGACCGAGGCTCAGAGAGCTGGTGTCCCCTGCTCTGGTCACAGTGTGGCTGTGGTTCCCTGAGCCCGCCCACTGTCTGACCTCCAGCTCTTCCCGACCCCGAGGCCCCACCCACCTTCCCAGCACCGAGCTGACTGTGCTTCTGGCTGGCACCCGTGCTTAGGTGGGGAGAAACCACCGTTCACAACCCCTCGGCCGTGCACCCCAGCCCCAGGCAGGCTCAGATCTCTCGGGGCATGGCACACACGGGTCCAGCTGCCTCCCCCAGGGCACAGTGAGCTCTAGAGGGCAGTGGACCTGCCTGGGTCTTCTGGAACCGTCTGTGGTTCTGGGCACACAGTACGCCCTCAGGAAACATTGATGGGGGAGGAAGGTAGAAGGGGAGGTGGGTAGGAGGAGGGGTGGGAGGATGGGCGCAAGAGAGCTGACTGAGTGGAAAGCCCGAGGCCGGGTTCTGGGGGGCTCCTCCACGGGGCCTGCTAACCGGGGTGGCCTCTGTCCCCGCTCAGCATTCGGCAGCTGAAGGAGCGCGTGACTAACCTGCGCAGGAAGCACATGCAGATCTACAACCTGGCGGTGAAGGAGGTGGACCCGCAGGTCAACTGGGTGGCGCTGGTGGACCAGAAGCTGGTACGGCTGGGGCGGGGCCCCAGGGACACAGCTGGGGAGGGGGCCTGTGTGCAGGGAGAGTCTTGTCACTTCACGGGCACACAGTCCTGCCCGGGAGGCTCAGAGAGGCCCGGGGCCAAGATCACACAGAGGAGCAGAGGTTCAGACCCTGCGCCCCATTAGCCAGACCATGCTGCTTCCCAGCAGTCGCTATCCACCCTGGCCCATCAGGGTGGGGCAGCGGCTGGGCTTCTGAGGGAAGTCTGCCCTTCCCATGCCCTTGTGGAGAAGAGCATGGCCACTCAATAGGGTTTCCTCAGTCGGAGTCTTGGCTCCCCACTTGCAGCGGTGTGACCCTGGGCAGCTGCCTCCACCTCTCTGAGCCTCTGCTTCCCCATCTACAAAATGAGGCGATAACTGTGGGCCTCTTAGGTGGTTGTGAGATTAAATGAGAAGACACGTATCAGGATGAAGGCTCAGAAAGTGGGATCGCAGTGGTAAACCTGATGGCCTCTGTTCATTTTTTTGTTTGTAATAATACTGTGTTGTGTTTCCAGTGAAGGTTTACACAGCAGTTGAGGTTCCCATTCAACAGTTTCTACACAGGTTGTTCATTGACATTGGTTACGTTCTTCACAAGGCGTAAACGTTCTTATTATTTCCATTCTGGTTGTTCTGTTTCCATTCATCTAGTTTCCTTGCCCCCTTACCCTCTCATCTTCGTTTCAAAGTTACCAATAAAGTAATTGTTGACCATTTGGTCTCATATAGGTGACTTTTTAAAGTAGCATGGTACGTACAGGTGATACTCATTCTTTTGTGAGCCAGTTTGTTATTTAGCTACAAGGTGACCTCAGGGGTTAGTTTCAGTTCAAGGTTTGAAGAATATTTCAGAGCAGTAGTGTCGAGGAGTCCTCCAGTCTCAGCTAGTCCAGTGGCTCTGTTATTGTTTGTTTGTTTTTAGGAATTTGGGGTTCTGTCCCACATTTTTCTCCCATTCTATCAGGGTCTATTGTGGCCCTGATTAGAACAGTTGGTAGTGGTAGTTGGGCACCATCTAGTTCTTCTGGTGTCTGTGACTGCCTTAACAAAACACGACAAATGAGGAGGCTTAGAAGAGCAGGAATTGATTGTCTCACAGTTCTGGGGACTGCAAATTCGAGACCAGGCTGTTGGCTGTGTTGATTCCTTCTGAGGCTTGAGGGAGAATCTCTTCCATTCTGCCCTCCCAGCTTCTGGTGGCTCCAGGCACTCCTTGGTTTGGAGATGGGCCTTCACGTGGTGTCCTTCCTCTGTCTCCCCATGTCTGCATCTCCTCTTTATAAGGATACTGTAATATGGGATTAGGACCCACCCTGCTTCACTGTGACCTCACGTTAGCTGATAACACTCTGCAAAGACTCTAGTTCCAGACAAGGTCGCATTCATAGGTACCGGGGTTGGGACTTCAGCATATCCTTTTGGGACACAATTCAATCTCTAACAGCATCTCTCCCTGCCTCTCACGGGGCCACTGCATTTACGCCCTGTGAGGAACAGAGCATTGTCCCCAGGTCCAGGGCTGAGAGCTGAGGGTCCGAGGGGTGAGTGGGCAGCCAGGCCCCCGCCTAGCCCCTCCCCCCGTGTTGGCCTTCCACTTAGGACAAGCTGAGCAGCCAGAGCTTCGGGACAGAGCTGCCGCTGGTGGATCACCAGGTGGAGCAGCACAACATCTTCCACAATGAGGTCAAGGCCATCGGGCCCCACCTCGCCAAGGACAGGGACAAGGTGTGTGGTGGAGGTGGGGACCCAGGGAGGGAGGGGGCTCAGGCCCGTGTTGTCGACCTAACCTGTGTCCCTGGCTCTGTCCTCAGGAGCAGAACGGCGAGCTGCAGGCCAAGTACCAGAAACTGCTGGTGAGAAGTTCTCAGGAGGAAGTGTCGCCGTGAAGGGACGCGAGTGTGGGAGGTGACTGGGAGCCCAGAGTCATGGGGACGAGAAGCATCCTTGTATTTCATTAACTTACTGTTAAAAATGATGTGTTAGTTGTTAGTTGCTGTCAAGTCGGTCCCCGACTCTTGGCGACCCCATACACGACGGAACGGGATACTGCCCGGTCTTGCACCATCCCCATGATCAGTTGCAGATCAGACCGTTGTGATCCATAGGGTTTTCATGGGCTGATTTTTGACGTAGATCGCCAGGCCTTTCTTCCTAGTCTGTCTTAGACTAGGAAGCTCCACTGAAACCTGTTTAGCGTTATAGCAACACGCAAGCCTCCACTGACAGACGGGTGATGGCTGCTCATGAGGTGCATTGGCTGAGGATCAAACCCAGGTCTCCTGCGTGGAAGACGAGACTTCCACCACCGAACCACCACTGCCTCGTCAGAATGATACAGGCTTGCAGTAAACATGTCACAGAACAGGAGGGGATTAAGTGAGAAGAGACGGTACCCCAGCCCATTCCTTAGAGGCAGCCCTGTGCTCATGGAAAACTCTGCTAGACCCCGAGGGGTACAGCCTGTCCTAAGGCTTGTTATTTCTTTAGGAAGCACCTACTATGGGCCGAGTGCGGTGCCACGTGCTGTGTATACAGAAGTTTTCTTTTTCCCTTTTTACGACTTTTTAAAAATGCATTCTTTTTTAAAAAAATTAATATACTTTATTTTTTAGAGTAGTTTTAGCTTTACAGATAGATGGAGCCGAAAGGACAGAGTTCCCGTATGCCGCCTCTCGCTATGCGCACGGTCTTCCCTGTTGTTAACATCTTGCGTTCCTGTGGTGCGTTTGTCCCTAGTGCTAAACCGGTACTGATGCATTTTTATGCGCTGAAGTCCATAGCTTACATTAAGATTCACTCTGTGTTGTACAGCCCTGTGGGTTTTGACAAATGCTTAATATCATGTGTCCACCATGACAGTATCATGCAGAACAGTCTCACTGCCCTAGAAATGCCCTGTGCGCCTTCTGTTCACCCTCAGCCCACCCCTGAGCCCTGGCAACCACCGTTCTTCTTACTGTCTGCATAGCTTTGCCTTTTCCAGAAGGTTCTACGGTTGGCATCATACAGTGTATAGCCTTTACAGACTGGCCTCTCTCACTTAGCAGTGTGCATTAAAGACGCCTCATGTCTTTTCATAGGCTTAATGGCTCTCTTTGTTTTTTAATTGCTGAATAATGTTCCCCTGTATGGATGTGCCAGATGCGTTCTTTTTGAAATTGCGTAAGCAGTGCATGCATGCTTTCTTCTGCAAGCAGTTCCAACACCGCAGCCGTGAGAATACAGCGGCAGCATGCTATAGCAGTTAGGAGGCTCCGGAGCCAGCTGCCTGGGTTCGAATCCCAGCTCCCCCACTTCTTAGCGGTGTGAACTTAAGTGGGCTCCTTAGCCTCTGGGAGCCTCAGTTTCCTCATCTGTAGAATGGAGTTACTACAAGTCCCTGTCTGTCTTAGTCCGGGTTCTCTAGAGGAGTAAAACCAATGAAGTGTATCTAGACATATGGAGAGAAATTTACTTCAGTGGCTCACGCAGTTGTGAAGAAATGGCTCACACAGTTGTAGGGGCTGGCAGGTAAGACTACAGGCTGACAGCCTCCGCTGGCTCTTGTGGTTGGTTGCAGGTGCTGATGAACCCAGAATGTGCAGGTCAGGCAACAGGCTGAAGGCCTCTGCTGGCTCACAGGGGTTGCGGGGGTTGGCGAATCTAAAATCTGCACTAAACCAGTTGCCATCAGTTCTGACTCATGGTGACCCCACGTGTGTCAAAGTAGAACTGCTCTCTGTAGGGTTTTCAATGACTGATTTGCTGGAATTGGCTCACCAGGCCTTTCTTCCAAGGCACCTCTGGGTGGACTCAAATCTCCAACCTTTTGGTTAGCAGTTGAGCATGAGGTGAAATGAGCTTTTAAGCCATAAAAAGCCCTGGAGGAACCTTAAATGCATATTGCTAAGTGAAGGAAGCCAGTCTGAAAAAGCTGTGTACTGTCTGAGTCCCAACGAATGCCATTCTGGAAAGGGCAAAACTGTGGAGACGGTAAGAACGGGAAACCGCATGCTAACTGTTGGCACCACAGGGACTACATACATGCTGTTGTCAGGGGCCGTCGAGTCGGTTCCGACTCACGGCGACCCTGTGCACCACAGAGTGAAACCCTGCCCGGTCCTGCGCCACGCTCACAATCGTTATGCTTGAGCCCATTGTTGCAGCCACTGTGTCAGTCCATCTCGTCAAGGGTCTTCCCTTCTTTCTCAGCTTTACCTTCTCCAGGGACTGATCCCTCCTGATAACATGTCCAGAGTATGTGAGGTGACGTCTCACTGTGTTTGCTTCTAAGGAGCATTCTGGTTGTACTCCTTCCAAGACAGACATGTCCGTTCTTTTGGCAGTCCATGGTGTATTCATATACGGAATATACCATAGGCGTGTAGGGGCTGTTACTGTTATACACAAGAAAGCACGAGCATCTCTCTGCCTCCCCTTCCTTCCTGCCCCCACTTCTCAGACAGAACCGAGTAGCAGTTTGCTGCTCTTTCTGGCTCTCTCTGAAGGATTATGATAAGCGGGCAAGTGGAAGCCGTTGCTGCTAGCATTTATTGAGCACTTACTGTATACCATTCCCTGTGCCCTGTAAGGCCAGAGCTATCGTCATCCCTATTTTACAGATGGGTAAACTGAGGCTCTGCTAAAATGTCAGTGCTGTGAGGGTTTTGTGTGTTTTGCTCCCTGCTGTATCCTGGTGCCTGGAGCGATGCCTGGCACTGAGTAGAGGCTCACTAAACGTTTGCTGAATGAATGAATGGGGCTCATGGGCGTCAGGTGACTCGTCCCAGGGCCCAGCCTGTCCTTGCGTCACCCCCGCCACCCACAGGCATTGTCACAGGCACGGCAGCAGCACCTGAGCTCCCTGCAGGACTACATGCAGCGCTGCACCAATGAGCTGTACTGGCTGGACCAGCAGGCCAAGGGCCGCATGCAGTACGACTGGAGCGACCGCAACCTCGACTACCCCAGCCGCCAGCGCCAGTACGAGGTGGGCACTGGGGCTCAGGGGAGCCACAGGGGAGCCAGCAGAGGGCGGCCAGGTGGGGCGCTGAGACCCTGTATGCCCCACACTGTAGAATTTCATCAGCCGGAACCTGGAGGGCAAAGAGGAGAGGATCAACAAGCTGCACAGCGAGGGGGACCAGCTGTTGGCAGCCGAGCATCCCGGGAGGAACTCCATCGAGGTCGGTGCGCTGCGGGAGGGAACAGCCCTCCACCCGTGCCCCCAGCACTTGGGCAGCCCTTGGAGGGTCGTGGTCCTGTGTCAGGCTGTATCCATGTCTGTCTGTCTCTTTCTCTCCCTCTCTCTCCCTGTTTGGCCAGCTCCTTCTTGCTCTCTCTGACTCTTCCCCTCTCTCAGCATCTTGCACCTTTGCCGCGTCCTGTCCCTGGGCCCCAGCGCTTCTGAAGTCCATAGGCCACCTTTGTCTGGGCAGGTGGAGCTCCTGCCTGTCCCTTGTGCGCTGCACAACCTGAGCAACGTACGGGGCAGCCCTGCTGGCCTCTTAGACTGCCCCCCTCTCCTCCTCCCTCCCCAGGTGCCCGGCCCACGGTGACCCCCCAAGCCCTGCCCGTTCCCCAGCCTCTGGGCAGGAGCGGACAGCCTCTGTGAGGGCCACACCCAGGCAGACACCAGATGTCCCTCTCTGACCCACTATTCTCTGGGTCCAGTGCCCTGCCAGGGCCTCCCTTGCACGCTAGCACCCTACCAACCGCGCCTGCCCCCCTCCCTGCCGTAGGCACACATGGAGGCCGTGCATGCAGACTGGAAGGAGTACCTGAACCTGCTCATCTGTGAGGAGAGCCACCTCAGGTTCATGGAAGACTACCACCAGGTACCTGCCCACCTGTGGGAGGAGGCTCAGGACCTGCCAGCTCCCCTGGGGCCTCGGCTTCAGAAGCCTGGCAGGGGCTCCTGGTGCCCAAACTTTCAGTGACGACGTGGGTAGGCCTTATGCGTGCTGGGGGCCCTGTGCATTCTCCCCACGGGGCTGGGGCCTTAGAGTCTGATTCAGCCAGTCATTGGTGGGGGAGAGAAGTGTGTGTTTTTAACAACAGCTGCAGTGGTTCTTAGGACTGGGCAGTCTGGGGGAACTTGGACTTGGGTGTCTGAGTCCTGCTGGGCTGAGCTTCAGGGAGGTCTGTGTTTAGCTTGGGGCATGGGGGGCACAGGGATGACTGCCTGATTCAGAGTTGCTGGCCCTGATGGAAGAATACCAGCTGTGTCAAGTTGACAGTGATCCCAAGTGTGTCAGGGTAGAGCTGTGCTCCAGTTTCCAGTGGCTGATTTTTTGAAAGCAGATCGCCAGGCCTTTCTTCTGAGGTGCCTCTGGTTGGACTCACACCTCCAGCCTTTTGGTTGGCAGCCAAGTGCATTAACCATTTGTACTACCTAGGGAATCTGATGGAAGAACAGGCCAGACGACTTTGGAGAACAAAGCGGGAGGCTTGTCTTCCGTCTGTTGAGAATTGCAACAAAAGTATCATGTCAAGACAGCCTGGCCTAGCACAGAAAGGAACGGGGTAGAGAGGAGAGCCCCAAGCTTGCGGGCATAGATGCGACGACTTGATATGTGGGAGAGGTGGCATCGGAGGGCTGGTGGGTGGGGCTTCCTGGGCCAGGCCCTGTGGATCAGGAGCCTGTGGGTCAGGTGATTGAGGCAACCAGCCCCACCTTTGGGACTGAGCTTGAAGCCACAGCTGGGAGAAGGTCCAGGGCTTCTAGTGGTTTCCTGCCTGTAATGAGGCCACCTGGTCGCCCCAGTTCCACAAAGACGTGAAGGACGCGCAGGAACTGCTGTGGAAAGTGGACTCGGACCTGAACCAGAAATACAGCCCCGACTTCAAGGACCGCTACCAGATCGAGATGCTGTTGCGGGAGCTGGACGTGCGTGATGGGGTTCCCTGTCCCCACCCCAGCCCCCGCCTGCCACCCCCACTCCGCCCCACCTCACCTGGGAGGCTGTGAGTCTCACCCGGCTCCCCCACTCTGTCAGGACCAGGAAAAGGCGCTGGACAAGTACGAGGATGTGGTGCGGAGCCTACAGCAGCGAGCACAGCAGGTGGTGCCCCTCAAGTACCGGCGGGAGACGCCACTCAAGCCCATCCCCGTGGAGGCGCTCTGCGACTTCGAGGGCGACCAGGTGAGCCGCTGCCCTGCGGGCCCAGACCTGCCAGTTTCACATCACTGGGAAGGCCTGGTGGCGCAGTGGTTCAGAGCTCGGCTGCTAACCAGCAAGTTGGCAGTTGGAATCCACTAGCTGCTTCTTGGAAACCCTATGGGGCAGTTCCGCTCCACCCTGTGGGGTTGTTGTGAGTTGAGATTGACTCAGCGGCAATGGGTTTTGGTTTGGGAAGTCTCAGCAGCAGGGTGGCTGCTTCCAAGGCCTCTGGCGATGCTTTCTGGGACCCGCGTCCTCACCTGCCACTGGCATTTCTCTCGTGGGAGACGTGTACCCCCCTCTACCCCAGCTGCCCTGGCCTTAGACTCCCCCGGCGTGGCAGCCCCAGCCATTCCACCAGAGTCCCAGGGAAGGTGCTCATTGGCCTGGCTTGAGTCACATGTCCACCCTAAGCCAATCACTGTGGCTGGGACGCTGCTCTCTTGTGGGCCAGGCCTGAGTTACGTGTCCACCCCAGAGTTGTCGTGGACCTGGACTGTGGAGGGGTGGTTCCCTAAAGGAAGTTGAGGTGGGGTGCTGGGCCGGCAGACCCCGCTGATGTCCCCGCCCAGGCCTCTATATGGTGATGTCTTGGGGTGGGTCTGAGAGATAGGCTAAGAATCCCCAGGTCTGAGAGCGACGGGGCAGGCAGGGAGTTGGTGTGAGCCAGGGTGGGGCTCACGAGTCTTCTGATGGTGTGGCCCGCCCTGCCCTCCAGGGCCTGATCTCCCGGGGCTACAGCTACACCCTGCAGAAGAACAACGGCGAGAGCTGGGAGCTTACGGACAGCACCGGGAACGAGCTGACCGCCCCGGCCGTCTGCTTCATGATCCCCCCCACTGACCCTGAGGCCCTGGCCCTGGCTGATAGGTACAGGGGCAAAGGAGGGAGCTGGTGTGGGCTGGCTGCACCTGGGGGCTTCTTGGGCCCCACTTAGAGGCCTGGGAAGCCTGCCTCTGTGGGTGGCGGGGTGGGTGGGCACCACAGCCCCAGCCCGCTCCTCTGCTCTCCCAGCCTGGTCAGCCAGTACCAGACTGTGCGGCAGAAGGCAGCCGGGAGCAAGAGCGTGCTCCAGCAGCAGCACGAGGTGCTGAAGGCAGAGAACCCTGGAGGTGGGTGCTGGCGGCCGGCCATCTGGGAGGATGGAGGGAGGGCAGGGCCAGGGCTGTGCTGTGGGAGGAGAGGCAGGGGCAGGGGAGGCCGGGCTAGCCCCTCCCTGGCCTCACTTCCCCCTGCGGCCAGCCCTGACCCTGGCTTTCTCCGGCAGATCCCTCTGATCTTCAGGGGCGGCAGCTGCTGGCTGGCTTGGACAAGGTGGCCCGTGACCTGGACCGGCAGGAGAAAGCCATCACAGGCATCCTTCGGCCGCCCCTGGAGCAGGGCCGGGCTGTGCAGGACAGTGCCGAGAGGGCCAAGAACCTCAAGGTACCACCAGGCGGGGGCACAGGCTGGGCGCTGAAGAACTCTGTGCTCACCCCGTCTCAGCCCCACAGGGGTCTGGGGACATTCATGGCAGGTGTTTGATGGGGGCCGCCTGCCACGTGTAACCAGCAGTTCTGTGTCATGGCGATGGCAGGGGTGCTCCTTCCACCTCTGTAGGCGCTGAGGACCCGGGTGAATGGGGACAGTGAGAGTACCTACCGCGTAGGGTTGTCCACAGCTTAGATGAGGTCGTCCGAGTGAAGTGCTCAGAACAGTAAGTGCTTAGCGAGGACCACCTGTTGACTGTTGTCGTCACTATTGCTAGTCACAATCCACCTGCACCAGAGCGCCGAGGGGTGCTCACCAAAAATGCAGGCTCCTGGGCCGGTGCCCCAGAGCCGGCAGCCTCCAGGGCATGGGCCCAGGCCTCTGCATTTCCACCGAGCCTCAACGCTTCTCTCGCTGTCCGTGAGCATGGGGTCCACTGCCCTCTTAGCAAATGCTGGTCTCCTCTTTGTGCCTGCCTGGGCATGTTCTTAGAGGGACAGAGGGTGGTGGGGGCTGCCCGGGTTGGCTGGCTGTGCTGACCGGGGGCTCTGGTCCTTACAGAACATCACCAACGAGCTGCTACGCATCGAGCCTGAGAAGACGCAGAGCACAGCCAAGTGTGAGGCCTTTGTCCAGGCCCTCCCAGGCAGCGGTAGCACGCCCCTGCTCAGGACCCGGGTGGACGACACCAACGGCAAATACGAGCGCCTGGCCCAGCTGCTGGACTCAGCCCAGGAGAAGTGGGTGGCAGGCGGACAGCAGGGGGCCAGGATAGCCGGCAGGGGGCCAGGAGGGCACCCCCTGACTCCTGTCCCCTGTCCTCAGGGTCACTGTTGCCAACTGCCTGGAAAAGAGCCTGCAGCAGGGCCGGGAGCTGCTGGCCACGTACGAGAGCCAGCTCACTCAGGACGACACGGTGCCTGAGAGTGGCCACGCCCTGGATGACAAGAGGCAGGAGCTGGCTGTGAGTCGGGGACCCCAGGGAGCCCTCCTCTGAGGTGGGGGCGGCTTTTGGGCATATCCCATCCCACCACCGCCCTGACAGAAGGGGAAACAGGCTGCGAGTTTCCCCAGCGGCGAGTCTCTCCGTTTTGGGAATGCCTAAAATCAAAACCAAACCCATTGCTGTCACGTCAGTTCTGGCTCAGTGACCCCACGTGACAGAGCAGAACTGCCCTATAGGGTTTCCTAAGGCTGTCATCTTCACGGGAGGTGGTCGCCAGGTCTCTTGTCCTGAGGAGCAGCTGGTGGGTTTGAACTGCTGACCTTTCAGTTAGCAGCCGAGTGCTTAACCACTGCGCCACCAGGGCTCCTCCGGGAATTCCTACGGGGTGTTAAATAGGAAGTTGTGAAGTGGAGGCCTCTGGCTCAAATCCCAGCTGCTCATGTGGTCTGTGTGGCCTGTGAAATTTCAGGAGCTCATTATACTTTGAAATCAAACATCAGCGTAAAAACCCAGGTTTCCAGTGTCTCGCTGAGCATCGATCTGGCCCTTGTGCCCACATGGCAAGTCAGCTAAGCAGAAGGGCTGCGGCCTCCCCTCCGTGGCGTCTGCCCACTGGGCCCCGCACGCGCTGGCCTACCTGCAGCCATTCCAGGCTGTGCCCCCTCTGTAGCCCCTTCCTCAGGACACAGCAGGAATGAACGCCGGGTTGGAGGAGAGGCCCAGAGGCATCCATGGGTCCTTCCTGCTTCCAGGCTTGCACACCCTCCCAAGCAGGGGTCCCAGCACCTCAGGCAGAGTGCTTGCCCTGCGCTCCAGGAGCTCTGACCACGGTGCCCACCCTTCCTCCCTCCCCACCGGGCAGGCCATGGCCTCTGACCTGCAGGCCAAGAAGTCCCTCCTGGATGAGGCCGAGCAGAACCTGCAGACGGCCAAGCAGTGCTCCAGCTCGCTGGCCAGCCGCTTCCAGGAGCACTGCCCCGACCTCGAGCGCCAGGAGGCTGAGGTCCACAAGCTGAACCAGCGCTTCGACAACCTGTGCCAGCAGATTGACCGCAGGTGAGTGAGGTGGCCAGTGGGTGGGCGGGGGTGGCAGGGATGAGGAAGCAGCCTCGGGCTGAGCCGGTCTGCCTTGAAACTGTGAAGGTAGGAATCCTCCAGAAGCCAGTGAAGGCTGTTTGTTTAGTCCCTAAGTAATTTTCTTTCTGAAGAAAGCAATATACACGCGAAGAAACTCAAACGGTGATTATATTGGTCCCTCTCCTTCCCAAGGTAAGGAGGTTACCAGTTTCTTATGTATCCTCCCCAAAATATTCTATAAGAGCACGGATGGATGGATGGATCGGTGGATGGACAGGTAGAGACACATGAATAACAACATACCGAATATACTGCATCTTGTTACTTTTCCTGTCGTATATTGCACTGGCCTCATAAAATGAGTCAGTAGTAATTCCCTCCTCTTGTTTCCTGGAAGAGTTTGTGTAGAAGCCATAGTCCTTCTTCCTTACACACCTGGTAGAATTGACCAGTGAAGCCGTCTGGGCCTGCAGTTTTTTGTGTGTGGGAAGGTTTTTAACTACAAATGGAATCTCTGATAGATACAGGACCATTCGGGTTATCTAATTCTTCTTGAGTTCACTTTGGTAGTTCGTGTCTTTCAAAGAATTTGCCCGTTTCATCTAAGTTGTTGAGTTTATTGGCATAAGGTTGTTCGTAACACTCTTCCCCTTTTTAACATCTGTAGGATCTGAGGTGTTATCCCCTCTCATTCTTATTACCTTCTTTTTGTTGTTGTATTTGTGTTGTTGTTTTCTCTGATCAGTCTGTCTGAGGCTTATCTTGTATTAAGATCGTTTCAAAGAACTAGCTTTTGATTTCAATCATTTTTCTCTGTTTTCTACTTCATTGATTTCTGCTCTTTGTCATTTGTTCTTCTTTTTCTTCAAGGTAGAAGCTTAGATTGTTGAGATTTTTCTTTTTTTCTAATAAGCTTTTTAATGCTATGTATTTCTCTCTAAGCACTGCTGTGGCTGCATCCCACAAATACAGATATTTTTATTTTCAGTGAGTTCAAAAGATTTCCTAACTTTTCCTTGCGATGTCTCCTTTGACCACGAGTTATTTAGACCCTACTATATTGCACGTATCTTTGCAAGTCACTACAGAGACCTACCTTGTTTTTTACGAAGGCTATGAAGTGCTCCAACTTAACATTCCGTAATTTATTGAATTCGTCGCTTTCTGGTGTTTAGGTTATTTCCAGTGAAATTACCTTTTCTTTCCTTTTTAAAGAAATGCGGACAGACAGCCTCTTTTAAAAGGGTTCCGAGGTGGCTTCCAGTGAGGCACCTGCTCCCCGTGGCAGAGGCCTGAGTGGCTTTTCCTCCTGTAGGTCCCAGAGCCTGCAGAAAGCCAAGGCCGCTTACGATAACTACCGCAGTGGCTATGACCATGTGCTCAAGTTCCTGTCCGACAGCCCCAGTTACGAGCCCCAAGAGACAGACAGCCTCGGCCAGATGGAGACCAAGCTAAAGAATCAGAAGGTAAGGAGGCTTCTGCTTTTGCAGATGTATGGTGGCAAAGGGAGGGTCGGAGGCCAATAAGCCCTTCTCTGGGGAGGGGAGCCAGGCCCCCAGGAAGTAGAGAGGCAGTGGTAGCTGACGGCCTTGGCAGGAACGAGGCAGAGCCTGGCCCAGCTGTCCTGCTGGACCTTGGCCCTACCTGGTGCCCAGCACCCCATTCTCTTTGAGACCGGAATTGTGCCTACCCAACCCTCCTTCCTCAGTGTCCAGCACAGGGCCTGGCCCAGACTGGACACTCGATGAAGGCTGGCTGAGTAAGACAATGGCACAGAAGCACCAGAGCAGCCCTGGTGGGAAAAAATCCTGTTGTTTTGGAGTCCTGCCTCCTCAGAAGGCAGCCATGCCTTGGGGTTGAGCACCGGAATCAGCCTAGACTCAAGGCCCACTCCATCGCTCGTCAGCCATGTCCCCGTGGGCAAGTTTCTTACCCTACTGTGCCTCAGTTTCCCCATTCCTGAGCTGGAGATAATGATGGTACTTACCTCATAGGATTATTTGAAGATTGAACGAGAAGATTTAAATATGATGTCAGAACAGTTAGAACACGAGTTTATTGGTAAGGGTCTTCTTGGCCTTTCCTCACAGTGCCTCAAGACTGATTTTTGTATGGACAAATGAGTACAAGGAAGCCACCGAGTCGATTTCCACTCAGAGTGACCCTATAGGACAGAGCAGAACTGCCACACAGGGTTTCCAAGGCTGTAATCTTTATGGGAACAGGCAGCCACATCTTTCTCCCGCAGAGCAGCTGGTGGGTTCAAACCGCCGACTTTTCGGTTAGCAGCTGAGAGCTTAATCACGGCGTCACCAGGGTGCCATACTTCATACAAGAGAAGAATAATTGCAGATTCTAAGGAATCCAGCTACTCTACTGTCTTGGTCATCTAGTGCTGCTGTAACAGAAATACCGCAAGTGGGCGTTGTAACAGACAGACATTTATTCTCTCACAGTTTAGGAGGCTGGAGGTCCGAATTTAGGGCTCCAGCTCTAGAGGACGGCTTTCTGTCTCTGTCGGTTCTGGGGGAAGGTCCTTGTCTCTTTGAGCTTCTGCTTCTGGGCAGTCTTCTGTGCTTGGCTCTGGGGGAAGGTCCTTGTCTCTCCTGAGCTTCTGTTCTTCATGTGCTTGGCATCTCTCTTCCCCCGTCTCTCTCTGCTTGCTTAATCTCTTTTATGTCTCAAAAGAGACTGACTCAAGATATACCCTACGCTAATCCTGCCTCATTAACGTGACAAAGACAACCCATTCCCAAATGAGATTGTCACCACAGGCGTAGGCGTTAGGATTTACAACACACATTTTTAGGGGACACCATTTAATCCATAACATCTATCAAGTGAGTTTTTTTGTTTTACTTTTGATTTTTAAAATCTCTGTTGTTTACAGAACCTGCTAGATGACATTGCAAGCAGGGAACGGGAAGTACAGAAAGTCTGTGCCAATTCCCAGCAGTACCAGCAAGCTGTAAAGGTGAGATGTAAAACGCTGGCCCCAGCACAACACAGCAGGTACCTCTCTACACCAGGGGAGCTAGGGAGAGCGGCGCCCGGCTCTGGCAGGTTGATGAGTAACTGGTTAGGCTCACACCCTGCCGGTGGCCGTGTAAACGGCACAGCCCTTTTGGAAAACAGGATGGTACTAGGCACCAAAAGCCCTAAAAGGATTTTATACGCTTTGTACCAGTAAACTCTTTGGGGAGATTTACCCTAAAGGAGAAAGTACAAAAGAACCATCATGCAGGATAAACACAATTGTTGTAACAGCATTATTGATAATAGCCAACTAGAAACAAAAATGTAAAAACAAGCTAGAAATAACCTACGTGCCCAAGAGCAGAGGAGCGGTTAGGTCAATCATCGTACGTCCACTAGATGGATTATAAAGTTATCACACTGATGACCATGAAGATGAGGTGGTGGCAACACGAGAAGAGGCGTATGTTTGATGTGAAGTGGAGACAGTGGGATGTCGGCATCTCCGGGCACCTGGGCAGCATCGGGGGCAAACCCTGGAGCAGGTGGCAAGGGCGGGGGGATTGTGGGCAGACCTTTTCCTTTCCTCGCCTGTTTTTCGGTGGTGTAGCGATGCCCGGCAGATGCAGTAATAATTTTCAGGCTCTCCTGGCACTTAACAAAGAGTGCAGCTGGGAGAAAGACCTGTGCAGATTATCAGACCAAAACAAAGAACCAAACCCGTTGCCGTCGAGTTGATTCCGACTCATAGCAACCCTATAGGGGACATAGTAGAACAGCCCCATGTGGGTAGAACTGCCCCATACGGTTATCAAGGAGCAGCTGGTGGATTCCAACTGCCGACCTTTTGGTTAGCAGCCAAGCTCTTAACCTCTGTGCCTCCAGGGCTCCGATTATCAGACCAGTGTGGTTTAAAGACTCAGTCACCCCATGGCAAAGGCCAGGGCTTGGGTCAGCTGGAAGGGATGTGAGGACATTCTGGTCTCTTCTTACTTGCTCTTATCTGTTCTCTGAAATGTCTCTCTCACCCAGGACTACGAGTTAGAAGCAGAGAAACTAAGGTCCCTGCTCGACCTGGAGAATGGAAGGAGCAGCCACGTGAGCAAGAGGGCGAGGCTGCAGTCTCCGGCCGCCAGAGTGAAGGAAGAGGTGAGCTGTGCCGGTGTCTGGGTGGCGAGGGGAGGGGCGGGCTGCCTGGCTCCCCAGGGCCCTGCAGGCGGGCCTCTGAGATGCACACACAATAGGGAGACTGGGCTGAGTGCCCCCCCAGGGAGCAAACAGGTTGGGTAAAAGGAGAGAATGAGCTCATTCTAGGACGCTGACATCAATAGGCCTACAGCGACACCCGGCAGGGGGAGGCATCCGGGCCCCAGGGTGGCTGTGGGGGGCTCCTGCGTTGGTGGCCCTCATTAGATACCCAGGAGAAGGGCGGACGTTATTAGTTCTTCCCGTGCACCGGAAAATTAAGGCTCACAAAAGGTGGAGACTGGCTCGGGGTCACGAGGGCCAAGACCCAGATCTGGGCTCTCTGACTCTGAATCAGTTTTCTCTCCACTCCAGAGACTACAGGAGAGCTCCAGGTATCAGTGGGCAAGAAGCTACCCCTCAGTTCTAACAACTGTCAGATTTTATTAAAACTTATTATAGAGCTACGCTCATTAAAACTGTGATACTGGGCCAGAGAAAGAGAATTAAAACAATGGAACAGTTTAGAGGGTTAGCAAATCCAGTTGGGAGAATTTGATAGCGGTGTCATTAAAAATGAATGAGGTAGGTCTACCTTGAGCATTATGCTCTTTTAAGAACTACCTATATGGGATCAAAGTGACAACAGCGACTCGGAAGATTAGATAGGAAACTTAGGGGGCAGTGAGTGTATGTTGATGGGGGAGGAACAACTCCGGAGGGTGACAGTGGTTGCACAATTCAAAGAATGTGATCAGTGTCACTGAATTGTATGTGTAGAAATGACTGAATTGGTGTATGTTTTGCTATGTATGTTAACAACAAAATAATTTAAAAAAAATGAATGAGGTAAATATAAACAATTCAACATATGATTTAGGGACAACAGTGTAACTGTTTGGAAAGTCTTTAAAAAAAAAAAAAAAAAAAAAACCACAGCAGCAGCAGCTATGCCTCTAACACCTGAACACCAGACGCCAAACGCTGTGTGCAGGTTTCCCAGCTCTTTCCCATTAGCCTGCAGACTTCTGTTTGCTGACTGTGCTCCTAAACGCCTTCCCTGCAGGAAGCCGCTCTTGCTGCCAAGTTCACGGAGGTCAGTGCCGTCAACAGACAGCGGCTGCAGAATCTGGAGTTCGCGCTGAATCTCCTGAGACAGGTAACCAATCTCAGCCAGAGATGCCACTGAAACCACTCTCACGAGCCAGGTGAGAAAGACTCACTCTGCCTCGGAGACACAGCCTGTGAATTCAGGGGACTGCCGCTTGCTGGCGTCTCCGGGCAGTGCCCGGGCAGACGCTGGGCTGAGCCACTGCTCCTGAGGCCATGGAGGGCGGTGAGGGTTCTCATGTCCTTAAGTCAGTAAACATCTGCCCAGTGCCTGGTAAACATTAACTTAGTTTTTAAAGTCCATAATGTTTATGACAACATTGTAATAGTAAGAACCTAGAAGCGCCTCAGCATTCCTGGGCAGTGGGCTAGTTAAGTAAATCGTGGCCCGTGCGTACAGCGGAAGGCTGCATACTGTAAAATAATGAAGTAGCGCGCTGTGCCGATGTGGAATTACCTTCACCTACTCAGTTCGGCAGGCGGGGTGCGGCACAGGAGACCACCATTCGTGGGGGAGAAGCAAACGTGGGGTGCACGCTGAGGGCATACGTGCTGTGTGTGCACAGAAAAATACCTTGGGGTGACAGGCTGGCCTCGGGAACGGGGCCGAGGGGGACACCGCTGCTGCACTCGTCTTCTGTGGCTTTAGCCTGTGACCAATGCATTTTAGAAACCCAAGCTACTGGTTTCACCTTCCCAAAAGTAACCCGAGAACGGGACTGATGGGAGCCCACGCTGGGGGAGTCCTTTGGGACCTCAGGACAGCCAGTCTGACCCATTCCCAGGTGGCCCAGATCAGCTCTGACTTGGGGGCACGGCCGCCCGAGAGCCCGGCTTTAACCGCATTTTGTCTTCTCCATCCCAGCAGCCAGAAGTGGAAGTGACCCATGAGACACTGCAGGGGAGCAAGCCGGGGTCCGGGGCAGAGGAGACCTGGAAGATTAGGAAGGAGCTGGATGAGGAGACCCAGCGGCGGCAGCAGCTGGAGACTGAGGTCAGGAGTGCCCAGCAGGAAATCCTGACCTTGCAGAACCGGGAGCCTCAGGAGTCGGTGGTGAGGAAGGAGGTGCTGAAGAAGGTGCCGGACCCCGCACTGGAGGAGAGCTTCCGGCAGATGCAGTGCACCCTGGCGGAGGAGCAGCACAAGAACCAGCTGCTGCAGGAGGAGCAGGAGGCGCTGCGGGCGCGGCTGCGGGTGCTGGAGCGTGAGGCCGGGGGTGGCGTGGGGCAGGAGTATGTGGTCAAGGAGGTGCTGCGCATTGAGCCTGACCGGGCCCAGGAGGACGAGGTCCTGCGGCTCTGGGAGGAGCTGGAGAGGCTGCGCAGGCAGAAGGGCACGCGGGAAGCAGAGGTGGCCCTGCTGCAGCAGCGCATCGCGGCCCTGGCGGAGGAGAAGGGCAGGGTGCAGGAGAAGGTCACGGAGAAGGAGGTGGTGAAGCTACAGAACGACCCCCAGCTGGAGGCGGAGTTCCGGCAGCTGCAGGAGGACCAGCAGCGGGAGGGCCGGCTGCGGGAGAAGCAGGAAGAGGAGCTGAGCTTCCTGCAGAACAAGCTGAGGAGGCTGGAGAAGGAGCGGGCCATGGCCGAGGGCAAGATCACCGTCAAGGAGGTGCTCAAGGTGGAGAAGGACCTGGCCACCGAGAGGGAGGTCAGCGACCTCAAACGCCAGTACGGGGACGAGGCCGCCAGGGCGCGCGCCCAGCAGAGGGAGAAGACGGAGCTCCTCCGGAAGATCTGGGCCTTGGAGGAGGAGAATGCCAAGGTGGTGGTGCAGGAGAAGGTGCGGGAGATCATCCGGCCAGACCCCAAGGCCGAGAGCGAGGTGGCCAACCTCCGCTTGGAGCTGGTCGAGCAGGAGAGGAAGTACAGGGGGGCCGAGGAGCAGCTGCAGAGCTACCAGAGCGAGCTGGAGGCACTCCGGAAGCGGGGCCCCCAGGTGGAGGTCAAAGAAGTGACCAAAGAAGTCATCAAGTATAAGACGGACCCCCAGATGGAGCAGGAGCTCCAGAGGCTCAGGGAGGAGATCGTCGACAAGACCAGGCTGATTGAGAGGTGCGACCTGGAGATCTACCAGCTGAAGCAGGAGATCCAGTCCCTGAAAGACACCAAGCCCCAGGTGCAGACCAAAGAGGTCGTCCAGGAGATCCTCCAGTTCCGGGAAGACCCCCAGACCAAGGAGGAAGTGGAGTGTTTGAGGGCGAGGCTGTTGGAAGAGCAGAAGCAGCAGGTGGACCTCGAGAGGGAGAAGGCGTCGCAGGAGGAGAAGATCAAAGAGAAGCAGGAAGAGCTCTCCCGGGTGAGGGAGAAGGTGGTGCAGCAGGAGGTGGTCCAGTACGAGGAGGACCCGGGCCTGCGGGCCGAGGTGAACTCCTTCACCGAGAGCATCGACATGGAGCTCCGGCAGATCGACAACCTCCGCAGGGAGCTGCGGCGGCTGCAGCGGCGGCGCAGTGAACTCGAGCGGCAGCTGGAGGAGCTGGAGCGCGAGCGGCAGGTGCGCAGGGAGGCCGAGCTGGAGGTGCAGCGCCTGAAGCAGCGGCTGGCCGACCTGGAGGAGGAGGAGGGCGAGGCCCGTGAGAAGGTGACCCTCAAGCAGAAGTTGGTCCTGCAGCAGGACCCCCAGCAGGTCCGGGAGCACGCCCTGCTCACGCTCCAGCTGGAGGAGGAGCGGCACCGGCGTCAGGTCCTGGAGAGCGAGCTCGAGACCCTGCGGAAGAAGCTGTTCAGCCTGGAGAAGATGGAGGTCAAGGAGAAGGTGGTCTTCTCCGAGAGCGTCCAGGTGGGAAAGGGCGACACGGAGCGAGAGATCCAGAAACTCAAGGGCAGCTTGGAGGAGGAGAGCCGGAGCAAGAGGGAGCTGGATGTGGAGGTGAGCCGGCTGGAGGCCAAGCTGTCCGAGCTGGAATTCCACAACTCCAAGTCGTCCAAGGAGCTAGACTTCCTGAGGGAGGAGAACCACAAGCTGCAGCTGGAGCGGCAGAACCTGCAGCTGGAGACCAGGCGGCTCCAGTCGGAGATTGAGATGGCAGCGATGGAGACGTGGGACCTGAGAAGCCTGTCGGCAGTGGACGCCGGGCTGAGCCTGGACTCCAGACTGCGCTCCCTGGAGCGAGAGCTGGAGGAACTCAAGAGGCTCTCCAAGGACAAGGACGTTGAGATCGACGAGCTGCAGAAACGCCTGGGCAACGTGGCCGTCAAGCGGGAGCAGCGGGAGAACCACCTGCGGCGCTCCATCGTGGTCATTGACCCCGACATGGGCCGCGAGCTGTCCCCAGAGGAGGCCCACCGGGCAGGCCTCATCGACTGGAGCATGTTTGTGAAGCTCCGGAGCCAGGAGTGCGACTGGGAGGAGATATCGGTGAAGGGCCCCAACGGGGAGTCCTCGGTGATCCACGACAGGAAGTCCGGCAAGAAGTTCTCCATCGAGGAGGCCCTCAAGAGCGGCCGGCTGAGCCCGGCCCAGTATGACCGCTACATCAACAAAGACATGTCCATCCAGGAGCTGGCCGTCCTGGTGTCTGGGCAGAAGTAGGCCCCGCGCTTCCACCAGTCGCTTCTCGGTGGCCGACCCTCTCCTACCCACGACCCTCCTGGGTGTCTTGTCTCTGGCCCCGTGTACCCTCATGCAGTCTCCTCTGCGAAGCTGAGCACTGTACCCATGCCTCACCACCAGGCTACTCAGAGCACCCCTCTCCGACAGTGACTCGCCCTCAACTGTCACCAGCCCGGGGGTAACTCACTGTGCCCTATGATGATTTGACAGCTGCGATGCCCTTCTTTTTCCTATTTCCTGCACACTCCTTTCAATAGACTCCTTGTGTGATGCCTGGAAACAATCCGCAATCTACTAAAGCAGAAGCCGACCAAGGCGGGTGAGCCTGCCCCACGCGGCTCGGGCCTGGCATACCAGATGGCCCAGCTCTAGGGCGGAGGGACCCTCTTCCCACACACCTGTCCCTGACCCAGGGACTCAGCCACCAGGGCCCTGACCAGCACTCACACTCTCTGGGCCTCTGGCTGAGAACCAGCTTTCCGTCAGAGTGGCCTCCTGGGGAGTTACCCTGCTCGCAAGGCACAGCTGGGCTGTCTGCCAGCAAAGGCTCAGAGAGACCAGAACCGCGTCTGGCCCTCGGTGCTAGAGTGAAGGTGAATTGTCAGCCAGATGTCTCCAAAACATGCACCAGAGATCGTCCTACGGCTCTGAAATGAAAAGACTATAATAGCGGATTGTGCTGCTGTTAGCCCGAGTCTCAGTGCCTTACCCTCACACGTCTTGCTTATCTCCTTGGTATTTAGGTATGCAAAACAGCTGACTTTTCACCAAATGAATTTCTGGGTCTGTAGCGCACGCACTGTGTAAGAAAATGAGAAGTAATGGGGAGCTCTATTTATAGTGCGAAAATAAAAACCTGGTGGCTTGGTTCTCATTTCATTGTAAGCGTGTTTTTTCCTCTTTTGCATGTGAAGCATATCCTCCCCACCCCCCACTCCCTCCTGGCTTTCAGCCAAGGTGGGTATTCCATATATACCAGCTTCTGTGGGAGAAACAATTACTTGCAGATATAGTAAAAAGAAAAGAAAAAAAAAGGGAACGTTTTGGAAACCTTGAAACAATTTATTGAGTTACTTTATACAAGATGAACAATTTCCACACCACCCCCTAACACCAACATAACCGCTGCACAAAAGCCACAGCCCTTTCACACCTCAGTGCTCAGGCAATGCCTGCCGAGCAAACCCCTGCAGCCGCCGCGGCCCCAGGCCCAGAGCCACCCGCCTTCCGCGGTGGCCAGGGCCTGCAGTTCTGCCTTGCCGTGGCTGTTGAAGTCATTCACTCTCCCGTTACCACAAATAAAGCATAAACAAGAAAAAGAAATCTCATAAACTCCCCATCAAAGAAACGTTTCCCTGAGGCAAGAGGCATCGCTAGATTCCTAAAAACGAGGGTACTCCGCTCCAGCTGCACACTCGACGGTACAGGGAGGAGGGAGCGTGGGGGGCGGGGGGCTGGACTGTGCCTGGGGTGGTCGAGGCACACAAGCCTGGAGAACCCCCACTGCTCAGCATTCCCTGGTGGCTCTGAGCTCAGCAACACAAATCTCTTCTTTGGCTCTTTTGCTACTACCTAAGACTATTCTGTAAACAAACTGGAATCCGAGTTGCAAAAAATAAAGGGATACGGAATCCACTTAGCCCAATGTGAAACGCATATTGGTTCTCCTGTTTTTAAAAAAAAAAAAAGAGCAGAGGCCTGGCTGAGTGCTGACATGGGCCTGGCTCCCCGAGGGAGGCCGGCACACCTCTGCATGGCAGTGAGCTGCTGAGTGTGCATCCCAGGGGTCAGATACCACGAGCAGCTATAGTGTGTTCACACGCGTGTGCACTCTGAGGACTCCACTCACTGTCCCCACGCGTGACATAACCTAGCTGCAGCTGTCGGCCCCACACACCCATGGCGCGGACCGCACAGGCACGGGCCAGCGCCCTGAGACTCCAGGAAATAGCACTGGCTGAGCGTGAACGCTTGGTGATCTAGGATCTGGAATGACTGTCCTTGTCTGTCTCTGACCTACTCTCTGAGCTCATCCACGTGTCACCCTTCAAGTAACTCACAGCCTCACCCCCAAGAGAGCCCCGGGATGTCAAGGCCTGTGTCTGCGGGACAGACGCTTCCTGGGCCAGTGACTGCAGCTCTGTCTAAGAGTGATTTCCAAGAAAAAAACTTAAGTGGAATGTCTACCGTGACTTAGAACCCCTCGTCCCCTCTGTCCACCAAGACAGGGCTTTGAGGCTCTGGAGTCCACCTATATAAACTCTGGAAAAACAGCTGGGGCCCTGGCTGAATTGGGAACTGGGTTTTTGAGGCCCACATGACCTTCCAGTCAGGGCGGCACAGATTATGATGTGCAACCCTAAAAAACTCAAATAAAACTGGCTATGTCTTGACTACAGACATGTCTTTACAAAGAACTTCATCTGAGACGCGCTCAGGGCTGAAATGGATGCGTGCGGTCTGATTCTGCTCCACCATAAAGGCACTGGGATTATGTCTTCCTACAACATGACATGCGAGCCACAGTCCCACTCCGTCCAATGCATTTCATGGGGACGATGAAAACTGAGCCAAAAATAAGTGTCTTTAAAAATCCTATCACAATGGGTGAACCTACAAAGGTCTCTTCTCTACAAGAGCTTCTCTGTCATGCTCAGAGGAGAGACCGGCCCCCACAATGAGCATACACCAGGTGTTCTCAGTGTCCCTCAAAGGGACAAGGTCATCTCCCAGCTGTGGCTTCAGCCCAGGTTTCTGTCCTGTGGGGCACACGGCCTGAGGACAGACGGACACCATGGCCATGGTGGGGATCCTGCTGTGGCCAGAAGGAGCCCCGGCCAGTAGGGCGCCATGAGGTACTCTGACCAAAGGCCAAGGGTCGGGCAGATTGGAAACGCAGGTGTGCAAACTCATCTGCCGCACCACTGGAGCCAGTCACCACGGGCTCCCGCAGGGCCCAGCACGCCCCTCGACCACTGCCCAGTGACACAGCCATGAAGCCCGGAGCACCAGGTAAGTAAGTGCTTCTTGAAGAGCAGGGGGCTGCTCCCCTAATCGGACGCACGTCACACGTGCCAAGAAATGCTCCCTTCAAAGCACACACCTCCTGCAGAAGAAAACCAGTTTGCAGAAAGCACAGTGAACGTCCAATTTCTGAGACCTACACGTTCAGCTTCCACCCAGACCCAAGTTGGTCAAGCCCTTCTGCTGAAGAGGTCACAATTTCCGTGGTACACTGGGCGCTTTCCCATGAAGCTGAGAAGCATCTGAAAAAGAGTAAGCAAAAACAGGACACACAACCTTCAGGATCTCGGCTTCTCTTAAGGGCCCCCCTTAAAGTGAGCCAAGGGGATCACTTCTGAAGCAGCGAAAGCCCCCACATGCTGAGCATTCTAGGCTCAACCAAGGCAGAAGGCGCCTGCCAGTGGTTTTCTGCATGCACTGGGACTCACAGCAGGCTTCAGTGGGCATGGGACACTGAGCACCATGAGGCAGGAAGCTGCTGAGTACCACATTCACAGAGCTGTGACTCCAGGCCACTCGGGCCACTCAGTCCTCCAGCCGCAACCACCACCCCACAGCAGGCTGGGCTCTCATGTGAGGCCTGGCCGTCCCAGGGAACTCCAGGTGGCACCCGCTGTTCTCTTACCACCCAAGGCCCCTCGGGCATGTGGAGCCAGAGCTGCAAGAGCACTAGCATTGAGAGTGCACAGAGCCAAGAGAGGAAGCAAGCAGACAGCCACAGAGCTGGGATGAGCAGGCAGCTTTCCACTACAGCCACTGGGTTTAACTCTACAACCTGACCACAGCTCAGCAAGATACGCTTACTCAGACAGCCTGCTTTAGTATCACTGCTTTTCTGGTAAACAGCCTTTTAATGCCCAAAGAAAAATAGGAAAGAAATGGTACAAGAAAACAATCTTTTATGTTTTTTAAACTAAAAATACCACAGACGAATAACTATGTTTCCAAGGGCTCTTCAATTATTTTCTCTCCTTGAAAAACTAGTAACGTTTCCAGAACCACGCAGAGGCTTCGCAATGTCTAAAACACCACCAGCGCCCACCTAGGAGGCTCTGTCGTTCCCTCAATTAGACTCTGAACTATAGGGGTGGCCCCAGGGTGTGGAGTCAGCCCACTGCATGTTACTTTTTCTCCGGCAAGGCAGAACCTCCACCTGGGAGACTCCTGCCCGGCAGCAGGCCGAACGTCACCCCCACAACACGGCTCCCGAGGAGCCCACGTCATAGGAGAGGCACGGAAAGACTCGGGAGAGTCAGGGGCTGAGCGCTTAGGGCCACTACCACACACTCGGGCCCGGGGTTTCTCATCTCTCATCTCCCTGGTGCCACAAGCCCACCAGCGTTACCTGGGGACCCACTTCCTCAAGAGTGGGCCTGCCCTGACCACTATAGCCCCTCTGCTCGTTTCTGGAGCAGGTCCAGGGAAGTAAGAAGAACAGGAGGTCATAACCAAACACCAGGAGGTTGAGCACCAGCCCTGCACGTGGCGTGGGAGAGCACCAGGGCTCGCAGCCCGGCAGGCCAATTGCTTCACACAGGGGAGCCAGCTGGGCCGTCCTCTCACGTGCTCCCTCCATGTCTGAGAGCCCAGGGCTCTGAGAGGCTCCTGATTTCTCAAGGCCACTGTGCCACAGGGAGGAAAGGCAGGAGAAGACGGAGTGCCAGCCACGGCCCTGCCGCGCTCAGTCCCTGTGTGGACAGAGGTTTTACAGCTGAACTGAACCTGAAGCTGCCCCTTGGACCTGTCCAATGTCAGAACTTAAGGTGCTCTCCTGAAGGCGCCCCGTCATCTCCCTCTGCTGTCTGGACTTTCCCTCTTATTTAAACGCAGCTCAGAGGCCTTGCGGCAGGCCGAGCAACTTCCATTTAAAGGCCTCGTAGTGCCCCAGCTGGCCCCTGGGGAGACGCACCGTGGCCCTTCTATTCTGGTTTAACTGAAATAAAGAGGAATATCTGAGTTCAGGGCTGGGAGCTCCTCTGCCTCCTACCCAGGCCACCACGACTTCCTCTGTGACAACAGCCTATGGTCATACAGGGTGACAGTCTAAGAAACGAGCCTGGCCCAATGGTGGTTCCAGGGTGGGGACCAGGGGAAAAGTCAGAGTGGCAGAGCCCTGCTGTCATTCTCTATGCGTACCCACAGAGCCACAGCCTCCAAGGCCAAGCCAAGAGGACAACACAGTGACAACGAGGCGAAGACACTGCAACATCTGGCACAGACAAGCATGGGGGGTGGTGACGCACAGTGCACGGGACAGGCGGGCCATCGACCATTACCTGGCAGGCTCTGCGGGATATGGGTGGACAAGGCAGCGTGTGGGAGGGGCGCTGCGGGGTGCGGGCTGGAGTGCAAGCCAGCCAGAAGACCTGTGAGAAAACAGAGAGAGGAGGGGGAGAGAGAACAAAACACACACAGTGAAGACGGAACAGAGGGCAGCTTCCGGGACCAGTTCTGGGTGAGAACCCCACAGGGGCGGGGACTCGGCGCAGCCCCCAGAAAACGTCCCCGTGGCCACACACCAGACACACAAACATGAGCCACAGCACACGGCGGAGACGAGCTGGCCGGGGGCCGCAGCTCACCGCGGTCAGGGGAAGGACGGGGCACTTACTGTGGCTGAGGCCGTGGTGGAAGGTGCTAGGGGCAGGACCTGTGACAATGGCGTCCTTGGAGACCCCTGCCTTGGCAGCAGAGTCAGCAGGGAAGGAGAGCACATGGACAGGAAAGGGGACAGGCCCGATGATGCCCAGGGAGTTCGAGGTCATGGCCCCGGGCAGCTTGGGGCTGCTGGACTTGTAGGATGGAGACAGCAGGCTTAAGGGCGAGGTGCTGGTCAGCAGCACGGCCCCACTGGTTCCTTTCTGGGGAGAAAGCACAGCAAAGGGTCAGAACCCTCGGCCCACACGTGGCTCATGCACAACCACACCCAGGACCACGCAGGTTGGGGACACGCGCACAGGCATCCAGTGCCTCTTACCACAGGCCCTCCTGCCCTGCAGCCACCGAGGAGAGAGGGAGGGAGGAAGGGCTCTGAACTGACATGGAAGGGCCTCCAGGATACAGCGTGTGTTTTAGAAATCGGTATTAAATATGCCTCCTTTGTGTATGAAAGAAAGGGAAGACTATATGCACCAAAAAAAGAAAAAAGCTGTTGCCATCAAATTGATTCTGACTCACAGCACCCTATAGGACGGAGTAGAACTGCCCTGTAGGGTTTCCAAGGCGGTAATCTTTACGGAAGCAGAATGCTACATCGTTCTCCCACGGAGCAGCTGGTGGGTTTGAACCTCTGACCTTTCAGTTAGCAGCCAAGCACTTAACCACTGTGCCACCAAGGCTCCTTACAAATCTCCACAAACGTGTTTATGTCCATGTGTATAAATACATGCATGTATGCACTTACATATGCACAAGCACGCATACATATATTTGTATGTATTTATTAACCTTTGTTTTTAAACACAGACAGCAAAAATAAACCGAGAAAATATACTAAATGCAAAATAAACTAATGAAAACAGCTACTTCATGGGTGGGGGGAGAACAGAGTGAGGGAAGCGAGCCTTCTCTGAACATACTTTTCTAGAGTTTTGTCTTTCAACCACACAGCTGTTTTACGTATGGGAAAAAGAAAGAAGAAAAACAAACGCCCTCTCCCCTCTCTTCAGGGAAGACTGCGGGATGGCTGGACTCGGCCAAATCACCCTTGTTTGACCTGCTTGCTGCAGGTTCCTTCCAAACCCAATCAAGAGGATCACCCTCAGGAGGTGGGGGTATTCCCATGTAGCTAAGATCCCTTGTTGGAGAGGGGAAGGGCGGAGGTTCCGGGAGGGAAGCTCTGTGGCTCCTGCTATGCCTCTGAGGCCCACGTTCTCCCCACAGATACGGGTGCCGACTAGTCCTCTCACTCGCTCTTCACTCTTGGAGAAGCCTCAGGGTCTCCCGGGATTCCTGCTCCCAGGAGAGGGAGGCCCTGTAACACATTTCTGAGCACAGGGACCCCACCTGACCTTCATTCTCCTGTCAGGGCAAGGCAGTGGCCCAGTCCCCGAGACACACGAAGGGCACTGCCCCGCGGGGTACTCACTGGCAAGGAGGTAGACGATGTCACACTACTGACCACGGTGGGCTTCAGGGAGGAGGTCAGTAATTTTGCCACGCCCTGGGTCCCACCACTCGAGTCTCCGTTTGGACCACCCGGCGGGGCCACCAGGGTCAGCTTCTGGGAGACAGGAGGTTTCTTTGCGGCTGAGCTGGGGACCGGTCGGCTGGCGGACTGTCCCGTGGAGGGAGGCTGTACACCTGGGAGCAAGTTCCCGGAAGAAGAGCCCTGGCCTGGCGCTCCTCCAGCGGCACAGCTGCTGGAAGGCGGCGCGTGTTTGGAAATGGAGCCAGCGAAGGGGTTGCTCTTGTACGAGGGCCCTGACGAGCTGGCCGAGTGCTGTTTTGCTGCGTGGCTCAGGGGCCCCGACGAGCTGGCTGAATGCTGTTTCGCTGCGTGGCTCAGGGAAGCGGAGGATGAGGCTGGGTTCTTGTGAGGGCTGCTGTTGGAGGCCGGAGCCCCTCCGGAGGCAGTCGCCGTGGAGGAATGGAAGCTCTGCCCCTTGGTGGCCGTCTTCACCAGCTGGAGGAGGGAGCGATGACACTGTGGGGAGGACGCCTTCGGGCCTTGGAGCTTGTTGACAAAGGGAGCTGGCGGGGTGAAGTTTTTCTGCTGTTGCGTGCCTGCGTGAAAGACTTTCACCTGGGGGCTGGGCACTGGCGCTGCCGCCTGGGGGCCGTGGGATGTCCGTGGCAAGCTGTGCTGCTTTGCTTTGGGCTGGTGTGCTTCCTGCAGGCTCTTGCTGAGGGGAGCCTGGCACGACAGCTCTTTGTAGCCAGAACTCTCTGGTTTTTTCTCCTGAGAGGACTGCCCCAGTGCCAGAGCCTGTTCAGCCAGAAAATTGAGGGGCGACTGCAGCGAGCTAGAGGGTGGTGGAGCGGAAGGGCTGGGTTTCGCAAAGTTCCTTTTGTCGTCCGCACATAAGACACCCACAACCTTTTCTGCAGGCGCTTTCGAGGGTGCAGACAGTGCGAACTCGGAGCTCCCACCGGCTCTGCTGTTCAGTGCAGCCAGCTCCTTGGACACAGCTTCCAGTGAGGAGGCGGAATTACGGAGTAAGTCTTCATCCAGTGAGTCCTCCAGGTTGATGGGCGTGGGGTTCCCCAGGCTGCCGGATGCCTGCGAGGAGAGCTCCCTGTCCGTGGCCCCAACGCTCAGGCCTCCTCCCTGATGTTCAGAAGGCAAAGTGACAGGGCCGCCAATCTGGCCTGATGGGACGGAGACCTTTCTATCAAGCTTAGCAGAAGATTCCTAGAGGGAAGCAGAAACGCTGACATTTAGAGATGTCCAAAGGTGCCGACGCTAGCCCCGTTGTGAGGTCCAGAGAAGTAGGCCTTCCCACACGATTACAAAACCAGGGAAGGAGGAAGGTGAGCACCATGCCTGCTATAACCATAAAATGCTGCCAGTAACAACCCTGTGTTACGTGGCCGCTGGCAGGGGCCAGGTCACTGGAGCAGCGTTCGTCCCTGAGTACACACGCACCCACGAGACTGGAGCAGAGACGCCCTGCCCACTGGCATTCGCGCTACCTCGGCGAGCTGCTAGCTGCCAACGGAAAACCACGTGGGGCCTGACATGACCTTTCTTTTTCTCCTCGCTTTCTACCTGCACCTGTCTCCTCAGCCTGGGTTCAAAAGGAAAGTCCTTCCCAGAGAGCAGGAACCGAGTCTTTCTGGGGCCCCCGCGTGCCCCATGCTCAATGCGGTGTCTTCAGGCAGTGTCTGAGACATTGCTGAGGCTCGGCAGACACTACAAGTAAGTGTTTTGCCCATATTACCCTCACGGACTGTGCAGGTGTAACCTGGGGCAATACCAAGGCCGAGGAACTGGTAAAAGCATCGGTGAAATAGCAGTTGTTACTCCCCTGAGAGGTTTATCAACACTAAGATGGCCTTTTTGGGCGCTATTTCTTCTCCAGCCACCTACTTCCCTCTCGTCCTGCCAGGTAAACTCAACACAGCCACCTTTTCTTCCCACGCAGCTCCAGGCTTTCTCCCATAAAAAAATCCCAGCATGATGCCTTCACATCTGCAGGAGGCGCCCGTTCTCACAGGGCTGTCACGAAGACCTCACTTCCTCCCCACCACCACCCGGGAGCTGTGTTGAGGGGACAGCGGTAGGTCCGAGACCCAGGTCTCTGCCCTGCCAGCCCCAGGCCCCCAGCGGGCCGGGCTGCCTCCTGGACAGCCTCCGAGGGCCATCCCAAGAAGCTGTCCTCAGACACACATGAGGTTTCCTGGGCGTGAGGGGAGAGAGCTGAGAGCGAGCACCACGGGGCCGCGTAGGCTGACTCACCTTCACCTTGACTTTAGCAGGGGCCATGACTTTCTTCTTGGCCCTGTTCAAAGGAAGGACACAGAAAAAGTTTAGAGAACGTTCACGCAAGGAGATAAAAACGAGCAGTCCCAAGAAGTGAAAACCCCAAGACACTCACAGGATTGACGTCAGGTGCCCGTGGCCGCGCCGGCTCTCCTTGAACAGGGTCCTGAAAGAAGCAGAGAACACGGCAGTTCGCACACGCCCCCTGGAAGCAGGGACTTGGCCTCTAGAGCTCTTCCACCCCTGGCACCACTACCACTCAGTGGATGTCACTCACTCACTGCATGCCACCTAACAAGCCAGCCGCTTACCGCTAAGAAGGTCTCCTGCAGCTGTACTGGCTTCCCAAAAGCCAAGAGTCCAGTCTCTACCAAGAAAGCCGTGCTTTGCCCCCGAGCTTATCACAGCGATTCCCCTCCCAAAGGAAACAGAAGGAGCCCTGGTGGCGCAGTGGTAAACACGCTCAGTGGCCAAGTGAAAGGTCAACATTCGAACCCACCAAGCGCTCCGTGGGAGAAAGCTATGGCAGTCTGCTTCTGTAAAGATTACAGCTTTGGAGCCCCCAGACACCCTTTTAGCTCAGTGGTGAAGTCACCTCCGAGGTTCACTGTTCAGCCTGGGAGTGGACAGCCCCGTAAAACCAAGTGAGACTAACGAGGTACAGGAGTCCAGTGACGAGGGCCAGAAGGCAGAAGGGGACAAGGAAATTGGTGACAGGGAACCCAAGGTTGAGTAACGATATTGTTGATGCGTTGTGAGATTGTTAACCATTGTTGTAGGGCAACATTTGTAGTAACTGTTAAATGAGAAACTATTTTATTTTGTAAGCCTTCATCTTAAGTGAGAATAACAGCACAATTGGAAGAGCGTAGTCAATGTCACTGAACTGTGCACGTAGAAATTTTTGAAAATTATGTATCTTTGGCTATGTGTATTTTCACCAAAAAAAAAGAGGTTGAGAAGTTAGAGGGTTGATATGTTGTGGGGTTGTTGACCAGTGTCATAAAACAACATGTGTACTTCTGTTTCATGAGAAACTATTTGTTCTGTAAGCCTTCACCTGAAGTACAATTAAAAAAAAAAAAAAAAAAAGATCACAGCTTTGGAAACCCTATGGGACAGCTCTACTTTGTCCTATGGGGTTGCTAGGAGTTGGAATCGACTCGATGGCAATGAGTTCGGCAGTGGGTAAAGGCAATGGTGCTTTTCTCAATTGTCTATTCTCATCCCTTCCAAGAGAAAAACATGGAGTGACCCACAGCGTCTTTTCCCACCTTTCGGAGGGACGAACAGTACCATCTTAAGATTGGGCACTGAGCCCAGGAAAGGCTCTGTGATTTGTCCAAACCATGGATGAATCAGACCTCATCAGGACAACTAGCTCCAACTGTCTGCGTCCTGTGTACTGCAGACATATTCCATCCACAGGAAGTGACAGGATACAAAGGAGCCCCGGTCAGAACAGTAAGATGTTCCCAAAACAAACCCCCTAGTAGGAGCCATTCTCTCTAAACAGGAAACTGTGGCCTGAGATGGGAAGAGTATGCAGTGAGTCTGACAAACAACGACAGAAACCAAACCCACAGACACTCTCCCTTCTTCTAGAGAACAGGACCTCTTCATAGCTGTCAGTACACAGGTGAGATGGGAGTCTCGTCAGTCGATGACTCCCCATGAGTAGGGCCTTGCGTCTCGTCAAACAATGATATCCTGGCAGGTGGGACCCTGCTGGCCCGGCACAGGAGCAGCATTCACACACTCCTTGAGTACGTGAAGGCTCCACCTCACGTCACATCCACCCCAACCTGGTACAGCTACTCGCCGGCCCTCACCTGGCCTGCATCCAGCCTTTGGGCCACAGAGGTTTGACCTCAGCATCCAGGAATGCCTTCACGTAGTCCTCCCAAGACTGGGCCTTGTTGTTCCTCTCTGGATCATAGCTCTCCAGCTTCATCTTCACCACTTGGCAGAGCAGCTCCCTGAGGAGGGGCAGACATCAGAAACTTCCAGCTACCCCGAAGGCTTTCTGCAGGTTTCAATCACTTGCCTTCAGCAGCCCCACTAAAAGTAAATGACTCTAACCTTCATTAGAAATACGGGGACATACTCAGACACTGGCCCTACAAACTCTCCAATGAGGCAAGGTCCCACTTTGGGCACACCTGATTTCATCATTCCATTGGAATTTCTTCCGGGGTCCCATTATCCGTCGGCCCCCCTTCTCTTCATCTTCTTCCTCATCTGAACAAACCCTTTCTCTCTGCTCCTTGTCCTTCTCCTCTTCCAGCAACCTACAGGGCAAAAAGAATCGAGTGGGACCCTAAGGCCACATGAAAGCTTCTCCCTCTCCTGTAACCGGGCCTTCAAAAATAAGAGGATGGAAATGCCGCAGAAGAGCCAAGAGCCTCACGAGGACGTGCGGACAAGCACTGACACACGGGGAGAAGAGACGGGGACAATGCCATACAAGAGCGACGGGGCACTTACTTAGCCACCTTTGCTTGTGTGTGCGCCTGGCATTCGTCCTGGTACTTGGACATCTGCTCTGGCATCGCCCTGCCGATGGCTTCCTTCAGCTTCTGGAGAGGCTCCTTCAGACGCCCACCCTGCAGAGAGCATCGCACACCACAAGTCGGATTCCTACACCACTTCTCGTACTAGGGACATGCCACAAGACCAACCGACAGGAGGCAGTGCCACAGCAGACGGCGCATCTACGAAGACACGGCCACGCCCCGCGGGGCCCCCAAAGCCAAGGCACCCCACTCTCCAGTCACCCACCTGCTCGCAGAGATGAAGTTTCCGAGCGCGTTTGAGCAGAGTGTCCTTGCTGCAGGGCAGCACTGACGCGAGATAGGCGTAAACTCCCGAGCGGATCTGGCTGCTCAGCTCCCGCGTCTGCACCTCTATGCTGGAGGACAGAGCACAGTCAGTGGCGGCCCGCACCCCATTGCGGCTTCTCCCACCATTAGGTCATCCTGCCGTGAGGAAGAGGGTAGGCGCCACAGGCAGGTCAAGCCTTTCTTGTTGGTCACATATATAACTGCATGACCAATGCAACAGACCTTCAGCGACCAACAAAAAGAACTCCTGACCCTGGTCATGACCTTGGCCAGGTAAGGTGGGTGAGGGCTCCCACGTCAAAGACAAGACCATGTCAAAGGAGAACAGAGCGCAAGAGAACAAGCCCTGAAACACTATATTTTTAAATATAAAACCCATAAAACCTTTCCAAAGGAAGACTAACAAGCTATTTGGGGTTGACGGGGAATACTTTCCAGCAGCGTCTCCTTTTTTCCAGTTCCCAGTCTGATCCATGATTACGAGCTCAGGGGAATGCCCACCCTTCCACTTTCCCCATCTACACAGAACAAGCCTTCCATACTGGGCATGCTCCAGCAGGTTCCTTGTCAACACCAAGCTCTCATCTGGGCCAATCCTCAGGTACCCTCTGCAGCCCATTCTTCCTTCTGACCCAGGGGCCAGTACAGATCCTCGCCAGGCAAGGCCATTAGTTTGCTAGGATATGCCCAAGTCTTGACAACCGTTCTTAAATGTGCCATATCCTCGGCTTTTGAGCATTAAGCTTCCTCGACCACATAATGCAACTCGGGGAACAGCTGGCAAAGCCGTGGCCCAGGCACAAAGGAAAGCCAGACACAAAGAACTGGGCTTGGAGTTTACAGGCTTGGTGTTTGCCTTCTAATCTAGTTCAGGCAGCACGGTGCCTCAGAGGTTCGACTGTGCGGGAGACGTGGCACAGGGTGACGTGCACTGGTAACAGGGGCAGAAGAGAACGACCAGGAGCCTGGGGCGGAACCCGATGGAGCAGACCCTGAGGCTGCACCGAGCTGTCGCTCAGTTTTCTGGATTCTCAAGGGATGGCAAACAACACCTTCTCTCTCTTCTCCTACTTGCCAAGAACTCATCTGCCAATGGGCCATGACTATTACATATAGTGTTGTAATAATGCCCGCTACCTAAGACCTAGTACCAAAAAAAATCAAACCCACTGCCATTGAGCCAATTCTGACTCATAGCGACCTTACAGAACAGAGTAGAACTGCCCCATAGGGTTTCCAATGCTGAAAATCTTTATGGAAGCAGACGGCCACGTCTTTCTCCGCAGAGTGGCTAGTGGGTTCAAAGTGCAGACCTTCCGGTTAGCAGCTGAGTGCTTAACCACTGCGCCACTGGGGCTTTTTTTATTTTTATTTTTTAAATAGACCAACAATAATTGTGTCATCTCCTTTGGTGGTCAATGTCATCTTTATGAAGCGCAATTTGTTCCTCTCCCCCAGTCTATATCCCGATTCCCATTCTCCCCGGGAACAGGGACAGCAGATACAAACAAGCAAGCAAGCAAACACAGGATACTCACTCTAACAGGATGTCATTGATATCATGGGTGAAGAACTTCTGCTTGCTCTCTCCGTCAGCAGCTCTGGCAGCCTGGTTCATCAGACAGTAACATCTGTTAGTGCACTTACACCCACACCCCCTCACACTCACCCACAGGCACAAGAGCCATGGGTCCCTGAAGACCTTCTGCTGATAAAATCCTCACCACCGCCTTCCCTACTCTGACCCGATCCAATTCAGCTAGCCTGTGGTCAATGTTCTCCAGCGCTTCCCAAATGCTGTGGAAGCATCTATGAACTGCCTACGTTCTTCCCGGGATTTAAAACGAGTCACATAGAAGAAAATCAAACAAGGTTAGAGTATCACGAGCCAGCACCCTATCAACTAAACTGTGAACTGGAATTTCCATCGATTCGCAGCACAAAAATGATGAAGAGTTTGAACAAACCTACAAGATTTGAAGGCCTTTCTCCACTGGGGTGGGGGCGGAAGGAATGACGTGTAGCATTGAAGGACGTTGTAATTCTCTGAAAACTCATCATCTGCTTATGCTATACTACAAACTCTCCATCGTCCAGACCATTTGAATGACTAACACGTATTGCTACCTACTCCAGCAGCCTACTGTACTGTCTTTTTTGCTTTCCACAAGATCACGGTCACACCCTGGATGGCAAGCTTGAAGATCCCTGAAGTAGACACAGCACAGCAGAGGCCCTGCACCGAGGCAGAAGTCAGGAAGGCAAGCCCTGCAGAGGCCTACACCAGTGGATCTCCAACTTGGGAGAACCCCCTGGGGCACTTCCCGCACCCCAGAAAAACGACATCAGAATCTGTGGGGATGAGGCCCAGCAATCAGTACTCTTCCTGAGTGACCCCAGTGACTCTGACGTGCAGAGAGGGCTGAGAACGACTGACCTAAACTCTGGAGTCGCTGGTCTCACGGCTTTTGGCAAAATCAAATTTCTGAAATCAGACTCAATACACAGCAATGATGGCAACCAAGGGCTCTAGGGGGACAGTGGAGAGGGGTAGGATAAACCCTGTCTAACCCTCTGACCATGCAGACACTGCTAGCCCCCCTGCCTCCTCTCCCCAACTGGCCTTCCTCTGGGCTCTCTTCGCACCTCCCTGACGGCCCCATCTCGGTTGACACTCTGGACCAGAATTCCCAGTCTCCTAAGGGACTTCTATGAAGGGCAACCCTCTGCTCTGCAAACTCAGCTTGCCCAAAACCACATCCATTGGTTTCTCCCCACATCTGCTCTTCCTCCTGTGTTCCCCACTTCCAATAACTGTGCTCCCATCCCTGCTAAATCCTTTCCCTCCCTTCTTCGGAACCCAAACTCCTTCACATGGCAATTTAGGGTTCTCCAGGATCTAGACCCAGCCATCCACTCCAATCCCCACCTCCCCCGACATGCCAGGGGTTCCCACCACCCAATGACTCACCCATCCACCATGAGGCTGGCTGACCCACTGCCTGCAGTGTGACTCCTATATACCCCAACAGCTTCTCTTACCTCCTAAGTCTGGCTGTCCATCGACTATCTGACCATCTGTCTGGCTGTCCAGATATCACAGAGCTCATTTCTCTCTGCTCTGCCCTCAGTCAGCCATCTGCACGTCTATCAATCCACTCACATACTAATAAGCTCACTGAGGACAGGAACCAGATCTTATTCCTCAATATACTGCCCACAGCTGCCCGTTACAGAATAGATAGTTAGTGTCAGCTAAGTGAGCCAATGAGTGAACACGCAAATGGACAGACATCACTGGAAGAATGCAAACTAGAGGAAGAAGAGCTCAATACCGAGCCAACCAAAAATAACTTGGAGAAGATGTGCGAAAGTCAACCTTCGTTAAGATCTCTTGGCTAGAGAAGGGTCCAGAGACAGGATAATGGAAGAGAATGGCGTAACGACTTCTAACCCATTCATCTGCTAACTTCTTCTACCTTCAGAAGTATCAGAATTTCACCTTGGCAGTTTTAACACACTGGAATTATGACTTTAGTTTGAGTAAAAATAAAATCCAGTCACTCTTTTGCTTTGGCCAGAAGCACCTTCGTGTCAATTCAACCAAATCACTTTAACACATATTTCAACTGCCCCAGTGTGTCAGAGCGATCCACTGCTTGTTTTGAATCAAATTTTATTTTTAGATACTAGCCATTTCTCTAATACTTCTGAAGCTTCCCGCTCTAATGATCTTTAAAAAGATTATTTTTTCCTAAAGCCTTTTGAACTAAGTAGACTCTGAAGGTCTGTTTTTATACTGAAGATAATTAGTCAATTAAACTGATAACTAATCAGTTAAGAAATCTAATTAAAATTATTAAATATATACGTATCTAACAGCCTTCCGGAAGTGAGGTCCCTCAACCCTAAGAAGAGACACCCTCGCTCCAGGAGTTGTATAAACTGATCAGCCCTAAACTGAGGAGGAAACGAGGTTAAATGAAACACCCTGATCATGTCCACGTGCAACAGTCCCAAGAGCCTTTTAGTGAGCTGTTTCATTTATCATAAGAAACGCCACCCGTAGCCTCTCAGCACCTAGCTCAGAACCTTACATACTGTACCTGTTTTTGCTGAACATAATCAAATCTGGCAAGCTTCTCTTTTTTAAAAAAGATCAGATGGGTTGCTTTTTTCCCCACCTTATTCTTTTTGGATCCAGCCCCTCTCCTGGGTGACTCTGGGGTGCCGGGGGTCCTAATCTACAGAGGGTAAGCAGTGAGGAGGCAGAGCAGAGGGGTGGGTGACCCAGGGTCTCTGCTTCTTTTCGTCTCTTAGTGCCGTTGCCATTTCATGCTTGACTGAAGAAACCCAAACCTGTTGCCGTCGAGTCGACTGCGACTCATAGCAACCCTACAGGACAGGGCAGAACTACTCCATAAGGTATCCAAGGAGCGGCTGGTAGATTCGAACTGCCAACCTTTTGGTTAGCAGCCTGGCTCTTAACCACTGTGCCACTAGGGCTCGGTGCTTGACTAGAGAGGGCCAAACAGACCTGGGCTATCTGTGTGGACCAGCTGAGCGGCTGCCAATTACACCAAGACAACCCCTGAGCCTCCTCAGTACCTGTGCGTTCCAACAACCAAGACTGAAGACCCCAGAAATGCATAGGAAGAGGAGACAAAGGCAAGGCCGTGAAATCAAATCACTGGATTCCTGGGACCCGTACAAATGGATGACATGAGGGGATAAGAAATGAAAAATGGACTGACGTGAGAAGAAAAGGAGAAACATCCACAGGTGTCCACCAAGGGGCCCTTCCTGGAGAGGCTCTTGAGCATACTTAAGTTTTTAAACATGTTTTTTTAAAGCTTAAAGTAGCTCATCAGTTAGAAGATAGATCTAATTTTTAATTTCTACAAGCAAAGGGTTTTTCTGTTAAAGGATGGATACATTATCAGATTAGATTCCTTGTACGTGCTGGGGTAGACTGCAAAACATGACTGCCAACTCCTCCCTGCCGGGCGCGTGTGCTCCCCGTAGGGAGGTGCCTCGAGTTCCCCAACCCTTGAAGCTGGGCTGCTCTTCTGACTCACTCTGACCAACAGAGCATGGTGGAAATGATGTCATACACCCAACTTCCGAGGCTAGGCCTTATAAGGGCCTTGTGGCTTCTACCTTTGCGCTCTTAAAGTGTTGCCCTGAGACCGCCATGCCCTGAAGCAGCCCAGGATGAAAGCCCAGTGGAGAGAGAGGCCCCACCACCCCAGCCATCCCAGCACCCAGCCAACCTGCCAGCTGAATGCAGCCGCATGAGCAAGCCGAGGTAAGACCAGAAGAGAAACTGCCCAGCCAACCCAGGGAATCAGAAGTAAAACGCTGTTTTAAGCTACTAAGTTTTAGGGTGGTTTTCTAGACAGCAAAAGAAATGTATCAGCAAATGTTACATGTATCATCTAGGACCAAGATTTAAAATCTAACCAATACTATTATAAATTGAAGAAAGTAAATGGAAAAAAAAGAAAAAGAAGAAAGAAAAATAAAGTGAGAAACACATAACACTGCTAATCTTACAGTTATCAACATCGAGTTTAATTTAAATTTTAAAAAACGCAACGTCCATTTCAAGATCTAGGACAGGGCTCCTTCTTAAGGATCCAAATATCCATGGATGGCTTTTGAAATTATATGCAATTTTTGTGTCCATGTGCATTTTGTTCCTGGGAAGACTCTCTTTCCCAGCAGGTTCTCAGAAGGGCCTGGGTCGAGAGCACTCGTGTACATTTGGGAAGAACATTGCGTGGGAGGCCTGAAGTCCCAAAAGTGCAGTGCCCTGGTCGGAAAGGAGCACCTGGGGACCCACTGGGTGGTACTAAATAACTCTCTAAAATAAGCCTTCTTTTTAATGCAACCATCAAAAATGATGAGGGCTTTATAATAATATTTATTAAGCGAAAAGAGCAAGAAACAATTATTCACAACTATAATTACAACCGCATAAAAACATGTACACAGAAGCTAGAAAGGAATATGCAAATTGAAAATCGTGTTTAGGTCAGTGGGATGATGTGTAATTTTCACACTTTCCATCCCATTTCCCAAAGTTTCTTGATGCTGTTATAGGTGAATGGCCAGGTAACGACTAAAGTATCCACTTCATCCTTGAATGTTATATTTTCAAACCAGTAAGTCCACCGTGAGCCCACTTTGGCTATGGGACTCCAAACCCTATCTCCATCGTGCCCAAGCAGATAACCAAGACTTAACAAGAACCGAAGGAGGACAGCTTGCCAACAGCCTGTCCATTAGGGAGACTCCAGAAAATGAGGGTTTCTTGCATCACATCCCATTGCTGTTTCGCATCATGCCCCTTCATTTCCACTAAATTTGCCCCCATCTTTCTCCAGAAAGCAAAATAATAAGTTATCCAACTAGAACCCAGCCTGTGGTGGGAGGGGGAGCCCATCCGAGAATTGCTTGACTGTTCTCTAAAAACTGACTGGTTACTGTCAGACAGACCTTACTTATTTAATGAGGCATTTAGAAGCTACAAAACAATTGACTGCAAACCGTTAGGACTGAAAAGAACAAGGAGTAATTTTTTTTTAACAGATATTCTGAGAGCAATTATAGAATTGCATGCTCAAACATGCCATGCTCAGATTCATCTCCTTCCATCTTTACACTCTGAGTCCCTGACATGGCAAAGTTTACTGAAACTGTTACACCCAGATAGAATACTTAGGTCTAACACTGCACACAGGCTAACAAGGGTGAGCCAGAGATCTGAGTAAGATGTTGTATATACTTCATAACTTGTGTTCAAATGTTTTGGGGAAGTGAGAAAATCGTGTGCGGCAGCGGTTCTTCCCATTTTACCCTGCCCTAAAACCCACGGGACGTTACACCTGACACCGTGGTGAGGATCACGCTTTAAAACTTGGCGCCATCGAGTATACACACTGCTGGAGGTGTGTCACAGGTCAGGAAGCCTAAGGTAAAATGTTATTTTAACTAAAAGCTAAATGTCATCACAACTAACGACCTACGCTTGGTTTACAGATAGTGCTGTATTACAGAACTGACCGTTCTCAGCACCCAAAGGATCATTTCTCAATCTCTGGGGGAAACAGCAGCAAAGGCTGCTATATTCTAAAGGTTGTTGCTGCTGTTTTTAACTGGGCGTGGACAGCATTTAAGGTTAAGCTTTTTATTTGTCACAACTCAAGCATTCTCGACGTGGATGATATGCAATTCATGGGAGCAACTGAACCCTGGTGGCAATTAAGCACATAAGTTATGCAGACTTCAGATGCGTGCAAAGCTTTTGTGAATTTCCCAAACTTTCAAGAGAATACTACAAAATGGAGTCTTGGCCTCAGCTGCCCGCTGCCCACGTTAGTGTCAGTCCACAGCCTGAGAGGAAAGCTACTCTGTGGGAAAGGAACTGACGGGCAGAGAACGGGAGAGAAGAGCTCCCTAGAAGAAAGTAAATTTTCCAGGAGTGAAGGAACCAAGAAAGGCCTAAAGATGAGGCCCGACAGGCAAAGCTTACAGTTCTCCCCCTCCGAAAGGAGATGAGCGCTTGGAAAGAGCTTACACATTAACTGCCAGCTTGCTAAGGAAGGGTTTCTTGGGGCATAGAGCGTCCTGTGGTGCAGAACCAATGTCAATCTGCCCCAGCGAACCGCTTCCAGGAGAGCCCGGCCACACAGTGTCACCATACCTGAGCCAGCTCCTTAATGCGCTTCTCCAGGGGCGTGGGCAGGCCTTCGGGGAGGGAGGAGGGCTGCCTGAATTCCGGGTCCGACCCCAGCCCAAGGGAAGCGCTTTCATCATCCATATCATGGAAGGGGCTTCCTTCCGGAGACTCACTGAGCAGCCGCTCCAAGTCCAGATCGGTCAGCGAGCCCATGGCAGTGGCCGCCTGCAGCAGGTCGTTGTCAGAGGTGGAGCCAAAGAGCGACAGCAAGGGGTCGGAGGCGCTCTCCAGGGCCCGCAGGCTCTGAGCTTCTGCGGATGAGACTGCTACCGGCTTATGCTCCTCATCTCTCCTTTTCTGCGCCTCTTTCTCCTTGTGAAACTTCTTTAACATCTCCTTCACGCTTAAAGCCCCAGAATATTTCTTCTTCTTCTTCTCCTTACTGGCATTGAGAGCTGTAAAGCTGCAAGCAAGAGGGGAATTAGTTACAAAGGCTGCGGTGCACCTCCAAAGGGAAATTCAGAGGGACTTTACGCTGGTTCCCAGCGCAGTGACCTCTGGGAGGCCCACAACAGCCACAAGGCCTCCCTGTTATTAATCCTCCCTCCTCTTGGCATAGAGAGCTCGTTCTTGCTGAGACCAAAGCTTGAGATTTAATACAGGTTGGCAGCACAATGTCACATAACGCTACACATCCGATGGGTTTTTAAAAATCACTGCCAGGCTGAAATAAAAGGTTGCAAAAAACCAAAAAAGAAAAAAAAAAACAAGAAAGGAAAAGAAAGGGGAGCAAGAGAAATCTTTAAAGGAAGCAAAGCAGGAGCAGCAGAGAACAGCAGCAACCTGAAGAGCAGCTGGGGTGAGACTGAGTGAGGCAAACGAGGCATGACCACAGGAGACAGAGGGACCACAGAGACAGAGAAAGAACTGGGGCAGGGAGAGGAGCGCCCAGAGGACAAGAAATATCGGCATCGAACAGCGACAGGAATAGCTGCCAACGCTGACGGTGGCAGAGAGAAAGAGCTGGCTATCTGACACACAGACATGAGAGCACTGACCGCCCGGGGGGACTGGGGAGTGGGCGGGAGGACAGACTCTGCTGCCTCGTCTAAAGCTGTGGGGAGGAAGGCGAGGCAGCTGCCGGGTGTCCCACCCTAGCAGCTCAGATATCATCCTAGCAAAGAAGCTGCGGCCTCTCACCCGGCTTTGGGAAACTTGGACTTTCTCGATCTCTTCTCCTTGTCCTGAGTGTCGTCTTTTTTCTTCTTCCTCATCTTCTCGCCGCCTTCCTTCACCTTCCGCTTCTGAGAATTAAAGACAAAGCACAGTTACGCAGCCCCTGGCTCCGGGAGCACATGCACGCCACAGCACTGGCCTCGCCCCGCTCGGGCCGCTCTGCCACCGGCCTCCTCTCCTCCATCAACAAAAGCTTGCCGGTCGCTCCCGGGACATGGAGCCACAACACCACACCCGCTGCGTTTCAACACAGCCTTCGCATGGCCAGTGGGACTGAGGCAGCAGTGGGCCACCCCGCAGCCTGAGAGAAAACCTTTCCAGACCGAAATGAGCTTTCACAAGAGTATGTGGGCCCTAGCTCTCGCTCTAAACACAAAGCTAGTGAAGATACATTTTAAAACAGTGATGTGAAGGCGGGTTTGTTTTCACTGGCTTGACGGCCCTGGGAACTGAAGTCGTCCACATGTCCACGCCAGACAGAGCACGGGTGGTGCACACTTCCCTCGTCCACACCCTTCACTGACCTTGTCCCCACCCTGAGACCGCCTCCAGGAACCAATCCCTGCTGACCCTGTGCGGATGTCAGTGTGATGGGGCCGTGACGCCCAGGAGCTGAGTGGAGCCCTCCAAGTTCACATCACCTTGTCCCGGCCAGACATGAGAGGGGAGCCGCCTACCTCGGCAGGAGGTGCACAGCCCTAAACCACCACGTTTCCTGATCTCACAGTCACATAAAGAAGCATTTCTGAGAACCAAAAGCAAGCAACATTCTAACCTTTGGGGACTTTTTCTTCTTTTCTTTAATGAAATCATCCTCAGATTCCGATGCTTGTCTAAACTGCAGGGTCCCCGAGTTAATGTAAAATCCTCCATACTTGGTAGTCAAGGAAGCAGGAACAAGCTCATCATACTGAAGGGGGAAAACAAGTTCTGGAATTATATTCCAAAGGTGCAAAGCTGGTCCTCAGAGAGGAGACGCTCTGTGTCTCTCTGCCACATTTCAGAGTGCTAGCTAAGACGTCCCTGCTAGCCAATCACAGAATGCCAGAGCTATGAGGTTTTCTGGACAGATCTGGCCACCATTTTACAGATGAGGGAACTAAGGCCCAGACAGAGGGGAGTCGCTTCCTTCCTCAGCTGTGCTTTCTCCTCGTGGTGAGAAGAGGGTACACCCACTCTGACCCCACCCCAGCTCCTTGGCCATCACCACTGAGAGCACAAGTGCTGCAGTTCTGACGCCCTGTTCTCGTTAAACACTTACCGCCTCAGAGTTATCGATGAAGGAATCGGACTCGTCATAACCATACCCCATATCAATCAAGTCCTGTATTCGGTCTTTTCTTCGTTTCTTTCCACCCTAAAATTTAAAAACAACAGAGCATACGCTTTTTTGATCAATATTCGCAGGGAATTAACTGCTGTCTTGAAGTTCGTCGGCTAGTTACTAAAGGTCGTAAAGCACTGGAACCAGTCACACACACGGACGTGCACACACACCAAAACCTCTTTCCCTGAAGACTTCTGGAAACAGATTTTTTCTACGTACAATGGCTTAAGATAGAAGAATGAACTAAATGGCTTCTTACACTTCATACCAGATGTTTACTCTAAGGAAGAGTACGAGTCCGTCTTGTTCGTCTGTCCACTTAACAACACACAATTAACCTCCTACAGATGCATGTTCTGTAGATTACTTCATGGGTTTAATAACTGTGTTCTGTTTTATCCACGCTCTACACTTGTTTCCAGGTCTGGGGTGATTTAGATCACAATTCGCCAAAGGAGATGAAAATGTCCGGAAGCCTCTCCCACCCCAGTGAGGTTGTTGTTGCCCAAGAGAGAAATCTTACATATTTTTCTTCAAATTTCCGGGCAAGGGCCTCCACTTTATGCCTTTCCTTTTCTTCGTCATTGAAAGGATCTGAGAGATCTTTCTTCTGTAAAGAGATCATTTGCACAAAAAAATAAGTCACAAAAAATTTTCACAAGCCTATTCAGAGAACCTTCACTGACCACTCCGTACCTAGAAACTGCAGAATAAAAACAACCGTTTTTTGGAAAAGACAAGGTAGAATACATGCTGCCATCTTGCAAGCGTTTACCTTGGTTGTTTGAGAAAGTAAAACTTTCATTTGTGTAACTCAACACAACTTGATTAAGCCCACAATCCACCCCCATGGCACTAGGTGGGGCAGGGCTCCAAATCCAGCAAAGGGACTCCAGTCAGGGATGCTCGGCCTGTAGAGAACTGGGTCTCAATAGAGACCATTTCCTTTGTAACCCTCAAAGTTATTTTTATGTATTTGCAAACATTATTCTAAGAAGGGGTCTGCAGACTTCACCAGACTTCCTAAGTGGCGAATGTCTCAAAAAAAGGTTCAGAACCCCTGAAGGTAGCACATGTTCTCAAGTGCTGTTTGGGAACGAGGCTCTCCAGTCATACATTCCCTATCCTTGCAAGCCTGTCTTCAAGGATCACTCACCTATCTCCTCTTGTCCTCCCCATCTCTATACCCACTCCAAATATTTTCATGTGGTCTTCCCAAGTTGATTTCTACTCATAAACTTATTCTTGCATTTTTCGCATGAAATAAATTTTCCAGAGTTAGAACTTAAATTTCTTGGACAAGAAGTCTTAGTTTTAATAGAAGACACCTGTACCTACTATGTTTAAGAGCAGACAAAGTCACTAAAGAATAGATGTTTGTTTGAAACGAAGCTCCTTTATCTCACCCTCCCATCTCTGCCTACTGATTCCTAGCCGCCCAGAAAGGATCAGTTAAATGATCTATGCTGCATATGCACAGAACATACACACAATGTATGTACTACAAATGGGTGGTCTTTACCACATGTGCTTATCTGTACCTTCTAATTTTTCTACAATGATCACATATAACTTAAGTGATTAACATAATTGTAAGAAATCCCACCAATCTTGAGCGTGTTGGTTGCATTCGATGTGTACTCCAGTTGCAAACAGTAGTCTTCCAATATAACCATTTCCTGGATGCAAGAAGGCCCAGGTCTGTCCAAACACAGTTTCCGGAATGTAAGCTTTCCTTGTTCATGCCCTCAAGGGCCTGTTTTGTACCAAACTTAAACAATTACCACACTGTAACTTCTGTTACTTTTGTTGTTATAATTCTCCTAAAACATCTACAAAATGGCAAGTTCCTTGCAGCTGGAACAGCACCTCGTCCACCTTGTGCAGTCCTCAGTGTGTAGCACAGTGCCTTGCCATCGTAACAAACATATGCTACATGACTTAGCAAACGAATGGGTCAGATTATACTGCACTTTTAAAAATGCAGAGTAGACACACAAAGATTCTGGAGTTCTCAACCTGAAGTCCAGGAATGACTTGCTGAGAGCAGACCCAAAGTTCTGCGTATGCTCCATGCGATTCTCGGCAATGGAGGGGGTACCTGGAGCCCCACAAAGGTGAAGCCAGAGCACTGGAGTTCTCAGTTCAGCTGACCTACTGATTTGGTTTGAGCCCATAAATAAATACAGTGACCAATCTCTACTGCTTTCTTACTTCCTCTCAAAAAAGAGAATACTATTTCCACTTTGCAAAAGGAACTGTGAATGGATTTGAAATGATTTCTTCTCATCCTGCCAGCTGGTCCTCATACAACAGGTTGTCCTCTGATACAAACTCACTGGCTTCCATTCAGCCAATCAGATACCCATCAAGGAAACAAATTTTTATCTTTCTAACCAAACATGCTCACCCTGAACAGGACACTGAATTAGGATGAGCAGCTGCCACTGAAGCACTCTGCTAGAAACTTTACCTACAAAGTCCCATTTCACCCTCAAATACCCTGGGAGCCAAATACTATTCTTAGCTGTACTTTACTAAGATCCACACTAGAAACAAAAATACTATAAGTGTGGGACCCTACTTATCCTGTCCTCAGAGCCTAGCAGAGTATGGGTATAGAGAAGGTGCTTAAAAACACTACTCACCTATAACTCCTACTCATACCGTACAAGTCCATTTATAGAAAATAGAAAAACATGCAAAACTCATCAGAGTTGTTAGAAATCAGGGTAGTGGTTACCCTTGAGGGTAGGGGTGGAGTCTCTGAAAGGCATGTGGAGATGTCCTGGTAAATGTTTCTTTTCTTGATCCAGGTGCAGGTTACAAGGGTATGTCAAGTTTGTGAAAATTTACCAAGCTGTGCGTTTATCACATGTGCACTTCTGCACATAATTAAATTTAAAATGAAAAATTACCAAAAAAAAGTTAATGAATTGTCAAAACATCAGTGATAGCTGAAGCTGGGTGATGGGTGTGTACATGGGGCCTTCTTATGCTATTCTCTCTACTCCTGTGTGTGTGTGAAAAGATCCACACTAAACAGAAAGACCAATCTGCCAGAAAAACAAATAGATCACTTTTAAAACATTTTAGAGCCCTAAAGGTTATAACTCAATTCTGGCACAAAAAAAAAATACATAAAGTAAAAAATTTTTTTTAAAAAAAGGGGAAAAAATAGCTTCCTATCCAGCCAGGTAAAGAAACTAGCCAGACCACCTCTGCATTAAGAAGAGATGAGCAGTTTGTGTCTTGTCCTGTCTGCCCTTACACCAGGCAGAGAGCAAGAGTCTCAAGGAAAAGAAAAATGCCCAGCACAGAATTCCTTCAGTGGAATAATCAGGGATTGGTCTTACTGACAAGGAGCATTTAGATTTGGCATGAAAAAATTCATTGTTCCTTTTTTTTTAATATTAATTAGCCATAATTCAAATGGGCTTTGGTTGTCCCATACATTTTTTTCCTAGTATAAATTAGGAGAATGAGTCTAGAAAGAATTCTATTCCTGCACGCCCAGAAACAAAACCAGCAAGCCCTACTCTTGCTTTGGGGTGGGTAACATGATTCTGGGACAGTCAAAGCCTCTCTAGTCTTGCTTCCACCCCATGGAAATCACATTTGCACGTGCTGATGCCCAGTCATTAGACCTGCAGTGACACCGGGGCGGCATACCTTGTCTCCGGCTTGAAGGCCTTTCACTTTCCCTCGTATATTCTTCACCAGCTCTGGGTAGAAAAACTCTGGGCAGCGCTTGTGATCTGGTTCAAAGAGGGTGAGTGTGATCCGAACAGCTGCAGCCGCCGGCTCAGAGTCCTGATGCTGTTCTGCTCCCCCAACCTCCTCCTTCCGGGATTTCTTCAAAAATGCAGGATTCAGAGGACCTGGGAGAGAGGTGAACTGGACTCTGTGGGGCTCCGACATGGCTACCAACAAGTCTTAGCGGTTGTCACTGCATGGCTTCTGTTAACATTGAAAAGAAGGGCCAGGTCAAACCAAGATGATAAAACAATGATCTTCCCACTCAACTATGTAGATTTAAGTTTAAAAGAATTTCATTATCAAGAAGAAACCACTGTTGAACTTAATTACTATTAACTGATATTTTTCTGCTTAGATAATACTCATTTTAAATATTAACATTTTCATACATACATATAAGTCACCCCCAGATCCTATCATTCAGATAACCACTATTTAGCATTATTTCCTTCCAGTCTTCTCTCTACGCATATATAGTAGATCCTTAACGTTAGAGAATCCCTGCTGACAGATCCTTAAGAATCCTCAAAATTACAAATACAACTACAGAATATTGTTTCCGACTGAATTTATCCAACACTTTTTTCTAGCAGAGAATAACCACCTTCTTAAGATTTCTTTCATCACCAGCGCAGCTTACTTTCATTTGGGGCCAATTTTCACAACGAAAAAGCTTTCATCCCCTCCCAAAAGTTGCTACCTACCGCCAAGATAAGAAATGAACAATATCTCAGGCGGGTGTGGCCAGGCTCATTGCCTAACAGAGTCCCAGGCTCCTGCACACCTGCCCCTACCACCCAAACAGGGGCATTAGCACAGTAACAAGTTATTGCATGCCAAAGACCCTCAGAGTTGCCTGGGAATGGTCAGATTCTGAATCCCAGAATCCCAAGGGTTTACAGTATATATGCAAATACACGCCATATATTTAGCTTATGTGTATGCATGCACACGTGCACACTAGGTGTATAACTCTGTGTCCTTTTTTAAACTCACAATCTACTGCAAACTTTCCGCCATATCAATAAAAATATTCATTACAGCCTTGTTTGTAGAAGAAACATGATGGAAGCAACCTGAATGTATAGCAATAAGGGAACAGGTGAATAAACCATAGTTTCATTGATTTGTAAGGGTTCTTAATATAGTATCAAGATGTTTCCCTTTGCTTGTCACATCTCTTACAAGTACTTCCCTGGTTTGTTATTTCCTGTTTAACTTTGCGTAGAGTAAGATAGGCTGAAACAAAGGCTAACTTTTTATGCAGTCCTAACTGGGCCCTTTTTCGCATGACGTCTCCCATCTCTTCTACGTCTAGAATGTCCTTCTCCAACCACAACTGGCATGAAAATTTACCTATTTAGTCTTTTACAGATATATTTCTCACATTTAACTCTTTAACACAAGTAGAATTTACTCTGCTATAAGATGTGAAGTGAGGCTCTAACTTGGTTTCTTCCCAGAATCGATCAGGCACTGATCAAGTATTTGAGAGACTCAAGCGTGTAATATTTTAAATGCAGTTTAAAACGTTCAATGGAATTTACTTAGCTGTTTGTAAAAAAAGTTAGTAATTGTTCAGGAGAATTTAATCTGCTAAATGGGTTATCTTAATTGAACCTGTGTCAAAGATCCAGTAATTTTTTTATATGAAAATTCTTAGATTCGTAAATAAAAAAAGATTTGTGAGTAAAACTCATAGGCTTTAAAAAAGCTGAGCTTTTAAATATGCAACTTTAATAAGTTGAGCGGTACTCTACGTACAGTATTCTATACACAAAAGCATTCCTCTTAAAAAGTCCCAACTGATGTTATCCCAGAAATGCTACCCCCATTTACTCAAGCTTCCTTTTGTATCTCAGGTTATTCCCAGGAATTGTAGCTTTTGGTTATTGTGAACAGGACCTTTTAACGATTACGTTTTAAAACCGGTTAGTGATAAAACAGAAAAACTAACTGAATTTTATATGCTGATTTTGTAACTAGTCCTTTTACTGAATTCTTATAAATGGTTTTCCCCTTGCTTTTTTTTTCCTCTCAACTAGGCAATCCTATTGTCCACTGAAATGATAATTTTGTCTTTCCCGTCCTGAAAAATTTTCTTATTTTTGTGTCATGTCTTATTGCATTGTCTAGAACTTCCAGGATAACCGTAGACAACACTTTATGCATATAAATATATACATATATACACATACGTATACATACACATATACATATACGTCCGTAAACAACATATTTTTTGCCATGTTCCTTAACTCCTCTAAATCCAGTACAATGTTGACTTAAGATTCCTATCAGCTGCTAACCGAAAGGTCCACGGTTCCAATCCACCAGAGGATCCTCAGAAGAAATACATAGTGGTCTGCTTCTGCAAAGATTACAGACTTAGAAACTCTATGGGGGCAGTTCTACCCCGTCCTCTAAAGTCACTATGAGTCCGAATCCACTCTAAAGCAGTGAGTTTTTTATTCTTTACCCAAGAGCCTTGGTGGCTCAATGTTTAAGCACTCGGCTCTAACTGAAAGGTTGGCAGTTGGAACCCACCCAGCAACTCCTTGGGAGAAAGACCTGTCAGATATGCTCCCATAAAGACTACAGCCAAAAAAACTCTATGGGGCAGTTCTACTCTGTCGCGTGGGGGTCACTATGAGTCAGAATGGACCCAACTACATCTAACAACAACGCTCTTTATCAGTTATTAAAGTATCACTTGACTCTGAAAATTGCAAACTTTAAAATTAGGAAAGCGTGTTGAATTATCAGTTTGCCTTAAAAAAAAAAAAAAAAAAAAAACCTCATTGCCATCTAGTCTATTCCGACTCATAGTGACCCTGTAGGACAGAATAGAACTGCCTCAAACAAAAAAAAAAAAAAAAGTAAATGACAATTCCTAAAAGTAATTAACAGAACTTCAGAGAACTCAGACTCCAAAGAAACGCCAAGCTGTGGACAACCATTACCTTAAGACCAACTTACAACCAAAGCTTCTATGTAACAAAATGCCTACAGTAAACGCGTGCGGACCGCTACCTTTTGCAGCAGTCGGTAACTCAAGAAAAACTCCGGTTCCAACTTGAGTATTGGAATGACTCCTTGGAATCTGTGTGACTGCGATTTTTCTTAAAACTGTATTTCCTACCTGGCATACGGAAGCTTGGGCAGCCACTTGTGCTGACCTGCTATTAACCGTTTCCACTAAATGGTTTCACTTTAACCTGCTGAAACGACCTCTGGCATTTGTCGCCCTGTTGTCGCAACAGCCAGATCGCAACTTCTCTCAAAGTGTCAAACTGCAACAGGGCTTGCAAAGCCCAGTCCTTACAAAGACACGCACCTTTGTCCCCAGCGCCGACGCAGGCTACAGCCCCGCGGGCCGCAGACGTTCCCCCGCGGCTGTCCTCATGCCGGCCCGGCTCCCCAGGCATGCCTCCCCGCGGGCGGCCGGCCGGAGCCGCGGCCCATGGCCGGCCCCCGCGCGCCCGGGGAGCCTCGTCAGCCGTGCTGCGCGCGGGCCAGCGGGGAAGAAGGCGGAGAATTACCCACTCGAGGTCCAGGAGCAACTCAGGGAACCACGGGGCAGGCTGCCAAGGGGCGCCCGGGGAGAACTTGCTGCGCCGGACCCAGACCTCCGGGAGCGGCTGCCCGAACGCCGGCCGCGGAAAAGAGTACTCCAACGAACCCAGGCGGCGGGAGAGCGGACCTATCGCCTGCCTGCAGAGCGCGGCGTCTGGAACTCCGGGGAGCGCGGAGACGAGGGGGACCGGGGCCTCCTGGCTGCGGCCGAGCAGAACCCGCCCGGAGCGGGGCTCCGGACTTGGGCGGCAGCCGGTTTCCAGGCCGCGCCGAGGTCCGTCAGGCGAGCTCCCGGGGGCCACGACGGGGCCGGCCGGCGCCGCAGGCTCGAGAATAGCCCCGGGGCCCGCGCGGGGCTAACGGCCGTAACGGAAGCGCCACGGGGGGAGGGGGAATGGAGTCCCCCAGGGCCCGGGAGGCAGGGCAGGGCAGGCCGCGAGGCCGGCTCCCTCACACGCTCAGCCGGCCGCACCGTCTTCCCCGCTGCTGCAGCCTGAGACCCCGGGCGCTTCGTTGTCACGAGCCGGAGGGAGGGGGAAGGAGCCGGGAGTCTCGGGGCTCCGGCGCGCGGAAACCGCGGCTCCCGAGTCACGTGCCGCTAGACCGACCAATGAGATCTGGCAGACGCGGTGACGTCAGAGCAGCGGCGTGGCCGATGACAGCCGGCCCCCGTCACGTGGCCAGGCCCACTCCAATGGGCGGTGCCGGGGCGACCTCAAGTTCCCGACGGCCAGTGCGTCGGCGGTGGTTGGGTGGTAAGATGGCGGCTGTGAGTTTGCGACTCGGCGACTTGGTGTGGTGAGTCCGGGCAGCAGGGTACAAGCGAGATGCGTCGGGGATCTGCTCTTCTGGGCGCGGGGTTCACCGCCAGCCCCGGAGCTGCCTTTCTATGCACTCCAGGCCACTGAGAGCGGGGAAGACGAGGTGCCGGTGCTGGGAGCGACGCCGGGCGGAAGGGGCAGCCCGGCCCCGGGGGACTGAGGCCGAGGATGGCCGCGGCGGGCCCGGCTCTGAGCCCCGAGGCCACCCGGAGAAGGGCTGCACTCCGGCCCGGACGCCGACGGCCACCGTGATGGGAGCCTCCGGCGCCGCGCGGCTTCCGCGGTCGCCAAGTCCCCGGGGTCTTGCTGGGGTCCCCTGAAAGCTGGGGAGCTCGCCGGGGCTGGTCCGTCAAGACTCGCTGTGCAATGGAACTGACCTGTACAGGCGGTTCGGCCGGGATTGTCGAAACCGGACTGCTGGCGCTGCCGCATGAAGAAATGAAGGGGAGACCTCTCCTTTACAACCGAAGGCTCGACAATGACCAGTGCCTTTTTGGGTGCCTCATGGTCTGCTACTGTGTCCCAGACAACCGCCCAAACCAAGACTGACTGTCGCCGCCTCTCTCAAGCTACGTAGCTTGTTTCTCGACCCAAAGGAAGGCTTCTGTTAGCATTTGTCAAAGCCAGACTGGTCTCGTGGTGAATTAAAACAGACTTTGTAAAGGGAAGTCTGTGTTTACGGAGGAAACTGTCCCCCACCCCGGTCACTGGGAGGCTCTAGACAAGTGGCTCTTGGTGGTTTTGTTGTTCTGTATTCCTTGTCACCCAAAGAATGCTCGTAGCTATGTACATACGTATAGGATTTTCCATTCCGTTTCCGAGGGTTTTGGGCCTTCTTGAGCCCAACCTTGGAATCCAGATTAAGAACTCCTGTTGGCTGGTTTTTGTTCCGGCACTTGAGGGTGCAGGCCGAGATTTAGGAAAACAAATTTCAGGTTGAGTGGGTAGAAGGAAATGGACTGGCTTTCCCAGAGCAACTGCTGACTCTGTCTTTTCTCTAGGGGGAAACTCGGCCGGTATCCTCCTTGGCCAGGAAAGGTGAGTGTCGTGCTGCTAAAGGAAGACATCCAAAGCTGGATTTGGGAAAGTGGAGAATGAATGAATGAATGTTTTTAGCATTGAGTAAAACTGATACTGTTTAAATAACCCTCAGTTTTTCTCTCTAGTATCAGCTTATTCACAAAAGACAATATAAAGCAGATCATTTAACCTACAGCGAGCACTTATTTCTTGAATCAGAGATGATTGGTGAAGTCTTTTTTTTTTCCTAACCCAGGAAAGCAATTCTCACTTGAATTTAGCTTTAAGTTTAGATCTAACTAAACAAGGGGATGGGGGGGCAGAGGGGGATAATTATCCAGGAAGAGAGAAATCTAAATGTGGGTTAGTAAAAAGTCAAGAGTATTTTTGTCCCAACTAAGTTTAAATCTTCTCTCCATTTTACCATATGTGCTGCTCCAAAGCATCTTTGCAAAAGTTGGCATTCTGAATTCTGCTTGAGGCGGGTCCATCACAGCTTTCCAAATGTTCAGTTTTTGTATTCTTGCTAGGAGCCCAGTAAATGTCTTTAGACTGTTTCTTTGGAATGTGGCATTTTCAGCACCTCTCGTCCTTCCTTTTCATTGTTACCTGCCTCATTAACTCAGACTGCACAAGCAGTATTTTTTAAGAGTGTCCTCGACATTTCTTCAACAATGGATACGAGACAGGCTCATGTTGCAGGAGATACGATGTTGACCTTAGTTTGAAAGTGGGCTGCAGAACTCAAATTCTAGTAAAAAGACCAGACTTAATGGTTTGACTGAGACTGGAGGGATCCTGGAAGACATGGCCTCTGGACTCTGTTAGCCCAAAACTATAACCATTCCTGAGGCCAGTTTACTGCTTTTGAAACCAGTCCATTGCAGTAAAAGGGGTATTGTGCCAAGTACTGTGCCACATGTTAGGTATAGAGAACTTCTAGAATGTTTTAACATTTTCACGCATCTCAGTAGAAAAGTGCCAGATTTGGACGTGTACTAGGCCCTGGGTTGTTTTTGTAATACACATTCCTCATATTTTATTTTTTTACCAACTTACAGCTATGAAGAATTACTCTCTAGTGGACTGCTGTGTTACCATCAAACCTTTTTTCCCTTTTCTCCCCCAGATTGTTAATCCACCCAAAGACTTGAAGAAGCCACGTGGAAAGAAATGCTTCTTTGTGAAGTTTTTTGGAACAGAAGATCAGTGAGTAGTCCTCACTGAGAGTTTCACTTTGCCTTTGTTTTGGAGTTACCCTGGGTCTAAGCTGCTTTGCAAATATTCTGGGGATCCTAGTTTAGTGTTGCTATAGCCTGTAAGAATAGCATACCATGCTGGCTTCATACCAAAATGAAAGGTGTGTTCTTATTGCAGAAATTGCTCTGGGCAACTGTCCTGGGGCCAGCAACAGTTTCAGTCAGGTAAGGACTGGCATTCATTACCTTGCAAGTGTGCTAACTACATTCAGAGATTTTCTTGCACCTCTCTTTACCCACCTTAGTAGGCAGTTCCTGTTACAGGAGCCGTGTTTAGTTCTCTTTCGATGGCTGTGTATCGTTGTGGTTTGTCCATGAGGTATAAATGAAAACTCAAGTTTGATTTATCTGAATACAAGTAATTGTTTAATTCTATTCTCTTTTGTAAAACTAGGTGATTTGCCCTGATATTGTAGCAGTAGAGTTTTTTAGCCAGATCTGTCGTAGGTTGAGGAAATTAATTTGAGATTCTTTGACCTGACTCTCCAGGGCTATGTAAGAAGTCACAATGAGAGGAAGAGCGTGTATAACTTGAGTTTCTGGTGATTTGCTTCACTTTCTCATCACTCCATCAGGTTTGATTACCTGGGTCTAGCTATACGAGTCGATCTGTTTAAGTAGTTGTATTTCTGTTTAAGATTCTTATAGGGAAATGTAGCTATGGGTTTGAAAAACATCTCTGACTTTTCTGATACGTCTAATACTTAGCCATTGCCACTGAGTCAATGATGGCTCATAGCCACCCTATAGGACAGGGTAAAACTGCCCCATAGGGTTTCCAAGGCAATAATCTTTATGGAAGCAGACTGCCACATTTTTCTCACATAGGGCGACTGGTGGGTTTGAAATGCCAACCTTTCAGTTAGCAGCTGAGCACTTAACCACTGTGCCACCAGAGCTCCTTAATCTAATGCTAGGTGGTTAATATGTTTTCCTAGAAAGCAAAGTATAGTAGTATATATGAAAATCCACATAAACGGTGTTTTTCGCTCATTCTGGAGTTTATCTTTCTGGTTTAGTGGTTTAGTGTTCATGACATGTCTTCCTTAACAATATAGACATTCTGATATACTCAGCCCCCAATTCTTTATCAGAAACCAACTTGGCAGTATTTTAAGGGAGTCGCTGGCCTGCAGTTGCGAGAGCTGGAGACACTCTGGAGGAGAGAGTGTTCTTCAGTGACGTGAGTTCTGTACGAAAGATCATCCCGATGCATAGAAATAAGTGGTGATCATTCCTCCACAGTCTGCATCGCTTCAGGCTGAAACTCCTCCTAGGAGCTCAGTTAGATAGACAAGATGTGAACATTTTAGGCAAGATTACATGCAGAATGAGCAACGCAGGCAACTTTTGTTGTTGAAAATATACCCAGCATAACACATACCAATTTAGCAATTTCTACACGTTCAATTCAGTGACACTGACTATGTTCTTCAAGTTCTGCAGCCATTCTCACCCTCCTTTTCTCCCCCATTAACATAAACTCACTGCTCCCTAAGTTTCCTGTCTAATCTGTTAAGTTGCTGTTTTCAGTTTGGTCCCATATAGATCTTAGAGGAGCACAGTGCTCAAGGCAGACATTGTTTACTAGTTATGCTAAACTATTGTTTGGTTTTAAGAAGACTTTGAGGGATGTTTTTGGTTTAAAGTTTAAGGATTATCTCAGGGCAATAGTTTTAGGGATTCATCCAGCCTCCATGGCTCCAGAAAATCTGGATTCCATGAGAAATTGAAATTGTTCTGAATTTTCCCCCTTTTGATCAGGATTCTTCTCTAGAATCTTTGATCAAAACGTTCAGTAATGGTAGCCAGGCACCATCCAGTTGTTCAGGTCTCATGGCAAAGGAGGCAGTTGTTCATGGAGGCAGTTAGCCACACATCCATTTCCTGTTCCTGACTCCCCTTCTTCCTTTGTTGCTTCAGGCAGGTAGCTATTAAAGGATTCTAGATGAGAGAGGGATCAGTGGAGAGCAGTGAGGCCAAGGAGGGCTGGATGAATCGATGGGATTTGAATCAAGTTCTGGAGGATAAATAGACTATGGATAGGCAGGAACGATAAGGGAGTTCCAGGCAGTGGGGATACTGTGAGCAACAGCTGGGCATTAAGTGGGCTGTTTGGGGCAGGGAGAGAGGCTCCCTGCCTGAGTGAAGAACTTGTGCTTAGGAATGACAGACAGTGTGGTTGGCCCAAACTTGGTTGGCTAAATGAAGAATTACAAAGTCTGAAACAAAAATGGGAACTCATGGAAAGTGGGACTGAATCAGATTACAGAGGACTAAAAGCCATTGTTTTCTTATGATAATTTAAAAAAAAAACACTGAAAGGAGAGAGAGTAAACTGTGAACCCTTGTAAAAGAAATAGTTGACATAGGACACAGAAAATTAGAGTTGTGTGAATTTCCATGCTTAACCAGGCAAACAGCTGAAGCCAGTGATAAAAGATGGGCTCAACCGAACACAAAAAGAGCCTAATGGTATTGGTGGTTGGAGTGATGGGGGCAATGATGAGATTTCTAACAAACAAGCTCTTTGGGAGGTTCATGAGCATAGTGGATATAGGACAACTACTCAATAGGGTATCTTTTTATTTTTTTAATTGTGCTTTAAGTGAAAGTTTACGATTCAAATTAGTCTCTCATAGAAAAATTTATACACACATTGTTAGGTGACCCTAGTTGCTCTCCCTATACTGTGACAGCATGCTCCTCCTTTCCACCCCAGATTTCCCATGTCCATTCAACCAGCTCCTGAACCTCTCTGCCTTCTCACCTGCGGACAGAAGTTGCCCATTTAGTGTCATGTATCTACTTGACCTGAGAAGCACACTTTTTCTGAGTATCATTTTATGTCCCATAGTCCGGTCTAATCCTTGCTGAAGAGTTGGCCTCAGGAATGGTTATAGTTTTGGGCTAACAGAGTCCAGAGGCCATGTCTTCCAGGATCCTTCCAGTCTCAGTCAAACCATTAAGTCTGGTCTTTTTACTAGAATTTGAGTTCTGCAGCCCACTTTCATCCTGCTCCATCAGGGACTCTATTTTGTGTTCCCTGTCAGGGCGGTCATTGATGGTAACCAGGCACCATACAGTTCTTCTGGTCTCAGGCTGATGGAGTCTCTGGTTTGTGTGGCCCTTTCTGTCTCTTGGGCTAATGTTTTCCTTGTGTCTTTGATGTTCTTCGTTCTCTTTTAGTCCAGGTGGATTGGGACCAGTTAATGCATCTTAGATGGCCACTCGCTAGCTTTTAAGACCCCGGACACCACTCACCCAAGTGGGATGCAGAACATTTTCTTAGTAAACTTTGTTATGCCAGTTGACTTAGATGTCCCCTGAAAGCATGGTCCCCAGACCCCTGCCCCTGCTTCTCTGTCCCTCAAAGTGTTTGGTCGTATTCAGGAAACTTCTTAGCTTTGGTTTAGTACAGTTGTACTGATTTCCGCTGTGGTGTGCGTTGTCTTTCCCTTCATCTAAGATAATTCTTGTCTACTGTCTAGTTTGTGAATATCCCTCCCCACCCTCGTAACCATCAAAGAATGTTTTCTGTGTTTAAACCTTTTCTTGAGTTCTTATAATAGCGGTCTTATACAATATTTGTCCTTTTGCACCTGACAATTCACGTAGCATAATGCCTTCCAGATTCCTCCATGTTACGTTTCATGGATTCATCATTCTCTATCGTTACTTAGTGTTTGATAGAGTATGTTTAAGCTTTTAGAAAGCTATATAAAAATGAAGTCACCCCAGAACTAACATGCTATCTCTTTGTGGGTAGACATCTGACTCAGAGAAAGGAAGTAGAAGGTAAGGATTTTCCTCTGAAGGGAGAAGAGTTCCTCAGGGATTGGTGTCGAGGCAAATTGTAGTTAGTCTCTTTCTTTTATCTGAAGATAAAATCTGCAGTGGCAGGTGGCATTGGATTACTGTGGGGCAGGAGCTCTGGATTTGTTACCAGCCTGGTGTGCGTTCAGACTCTGGTTCCACCAGCCCTGTGATTAGAGCGAGCTGTTTCACTTTTCCAGACCTCTGTGTCCTCATGCATGTTATAGGGATGACATCCCACTCTCATCCCGGGTGGAGAAGTAGGGTCACGCACGTAGAGTGTGGTTTGCACTGGCAGCAGGTGTTCGGCAACTATGAGGCAAGGGTCCACATCGGTTTGCAAGAGGGAAGAATAGCTGGTAGATTGTAACAACAGCAGGTGCCTCTGAGTAAGGAAAGGAATCTGAGAGTTGGTCGGCCAGGTATGCTCTTTTGACCAGGAAAGCTTTGAACACAAAACAAAATGCTATTCCATCTTTATGTAAAAATGTAATGTGCCTCACCAGAAATACTACCTGGACCTCATTTCATGCTTCCAAAAGGATCTGATGGAACTAGTCAAGATCCAGAAGAGTGGACTGAGTCAGACAAAAGAGTAGGTCTCTAGTGTGGAAAAGCCAAGGCTGAAACAAGAGCGTGATCAGGATTTATGAAATAACAAATGGTTTGAGGGAGATAAACTCTGACTTGTTTGTAAACCCTCATGCATTTTGATGAGGGGCCCCCCAATGGAAGAAATGTTGTGTGTGTGTTTCAGGCAAATACATGAAGTAGACATTTAGGAGGTGGTGCAGACAAGAGCCCTGGTTGCACAGTGGTTAAAGCACTCACCTGCTAACTGAAAGGTCAGCGATTCAAACTCACCAGCTGCTCCATGGGAGAAAACTGTGGCAGTTCGCGTCCATAAAGATTTACAGCTTTGGAAACTCTGTGGGTCAGTCCTACCCTGTCCTGTAGGGTTGCTGAGCAGCAGTCAGCTTGATGGCAGCGGGTTTGGTTTGTTTAGGTTTGGGTAGACAGGAAGTGCAAGTGGACTTTTTAGGGATGAGAACTAGTTTGTTCTGCGTGGCTACAGAAGAAGCTAGACTCGACCTCACCTTTACTGGTTGATGTCGCTCCTGGCACATTCTGGGA